GCCGGTCTCATGCGACCTCCCTCCTTCCTGTCCTGTAGTTGGCCAGCCTTCTTGTTCCGTCGTAACACAGGAGGTAGTAGGGGGGCAGTAGGGTTAAATAGCAGCTTAGCACCTTACTTTTTAGGCATTGGTCTAGCTGACAGTCAGGTTGCTAAAACCCTCTATTAGAGGGATTTACTGTTGTACCTTTGGCTAGACCATTACCCAAAGCAGTAATTGCCAAGCCACCCCCCTACCTGCTTTACATTACTGGCTTGAGCCTGATACTAAAGGAGCTAGGCATGGTCGATTTAGGCGAAGGCCATAGGACAATAGGGGGCTTAACGTCAACTAGCAACCTCCTTACATGGTGTATGAAGGAGAACAGTACAGTATGAATTAATGGACAAGGCTGAGTGAATAGAGGTTTTACCTGCTTAACCAACAATGTAATTGGCCATTACCTATTGTAGTAATTGCCAAGCTGCTAAGTGAGGCTAGTATTATATATTAGAATATTAGAATTAAGATGCCCACTCATAGACAGCACGTGATAATTGCAGCTGCTACAGCTATGATTATCTATTATATAATAAGATGTTGGAATTCTTAAGAGCTGTTAAAGCTATTAGCAGCTGCCCTCATATCTAGGGCTTTGTTAATGGAATGTTTTGAGGATTCTGTCAGATAGAAGCGATGAAGCCTAGCGTGCCATTTATAATGGCTATAAATGTTAGCACAGCTAGTAATGACAAGCTATTATAATGCTAGATGGGCTTGCTTCATCACTTTGTAGGCCCTTCCTTAGTACTATAAATAGGCGTTTAATCACTTGCTATCATCTATAAGGATAGCTGTTAAGAACTACTTTAGCAAAACTTAACAGCTATTCTCATATACAGCCTTTAGTAAAGGACTTTGGTTAGGAAGTCAACTAGTTACTATATACTTTATAGTTGCTGTTACGATGGTCATGGAGGTCATGATGCTAGTCTGGGTAAAGTAAGCTAGATTGAATGTAAAGAGAGAAGAAGAAGAAAGGAAGGAAGAAGATGAGGCTATTCCTCATTATATGCAGCTGTGCACTTAGCGATCCCTTGTAACCTTATTGGCTACTATAGCTGCCTGTTCCTATAGTTGCTAGCGGCTGTGATGTGTGATCATAACAGTTGCTATTCTACTTACAAATTACTATACTTATATTAATGACAATTTGATATCATGGCACTTCAAAGTAGACCTGCCATTAATTAAGGTGTATTTATGTATTAAAACTATATAGCTATATACTTAATCTACCCCCCCTTGTTCTTCTGTCTCTTAATATATCTAGTGTATAAATGATGAGAACATTACTAACTGTTCTCTTTGTATACCTTTAAGCTAGGTGGCGATTCTAGCTTAAATCTACTCCTCCTGTTACTAGAGGTGCACTTCTAACTGCCTCTTAATATTATAAAGGGTAGTTAATACTTATAAAGGCAGTTTGTAAAATGCCTTTATAAGGTTGTCTATTTTAGAGAAGAAGTGCTCATTAAGGCTGTTCACTCTACTAGTGGCACTAGACAAGGGATTAAATGCAAGAAAGTCACTAGGGGGCTAAGTCATGAGTTAGGAAGATGTCATAGGGACAAGGACCACATAACCTAATCCTTAAGGGATCTAGGATTGTCTAGGGATCGAAGAGGTCATAGGGACAGGACCACGTAACCTAATCCTTAAGGGATCTAGGATCGTCTAAGGGTCATCTAGGGATCATTTAGGGACCATCTAGGTAGTAGACAGGATCTACTAGGCATGACACTACTATATAAGTAGATAGCTATCCCTTAGATAGGAGCTTCGGAGCTTCGTGTAATGCTGCTTCCTATCTAATAGGATGTATATAGGTTTCTTGCATGTTAGGTTTAACTTAACAGAGAAAGAAGGCAGGGGATCAGCCACAAAGACTTTCTAAGTAACACGTTACAGTATTATAAAGAATACTACATTGAGTTGAGCACGAAGCTCCTATACTATCTACTTATACAGTGGTGTCGTGCCTTGTAGATCCTGTCTAGTCTATAGACCATGTAGGATCAGTCATGGCCTATAACCTCCTTATGACTCACGGATCCTGTCTAGTCTATGTAAGAATGCCTTCTCGTCTCTCACTCTAAGGAGCAGACTCTGAGTAGCTGCGGGTCACGTGTGATCATTTGGGTGGGCTAACTGAGTCGGATGGGTTTCGGGTCTTAAGGGAATTGACTCACGGGGTTCCCCCTTCATCTTTTTTGTATCCTTCGTAGTAGACCTATAGGATAGCATCCGTTTAGCCTCCGACTCGCACTCTCATATGCTATTACTGTGAGCTGGGTGCCCTGTGTCCTTACAGTCTATAGTGTTGAACACATAATTGGAGTTTGACGACTTGATTGAGTAAACTATGGGTGTGAAGCCCTATATATACATATAGCCAGTATACAAGCTACACTGTGCAGCGTACATCTAGGAACGTAGTTCCAACATATAGACTATGTAGGATTAGTCACGTGGTCCTAGTCTCGTGACCACTTCATGACTTATGTGTAACTTTTAACCGTAGCCTTCTAACAGGTTAGGTCATGTAGCACTTCCTATGACCTTCCTATGACTCATATATTCCTTGTCTTAGCGCTACTAGTAGAGTAGGCCGTAACAATACTCTCTAGATAGAGGGTAGTAGGAATAGAGGTCTGTGTAGTAGCATCATATAATGTAGTATATAGGGCAAAATTATCACTTTCTAGGGATCATCATTTAAACACATGTATTACTAATATATAAGCTAACTACATTAGGCAATTATCATAAAGGGCAGACTAAACAGAAGTCTACTTAGTCTATCATAGGTAGGTAGGAAGTAGGAAGGGGGGTTGGTTATAGGTCTACGTTAAGGGTGCCCTGCTATAGCGCCCTAGGTTGCCCAAGGTTGCTTGCTATTAGGCTACAAGACTGCAAGACGGCGCCTGGCCCTAACTCGCTACCAAGACAGCAGGGGCCCAACTGCAACGGGGGACAAAGGAGTAGATAAAGGTAACCTACTGTCTGCCCTTCCTAATATTACCACATCTAGTAATTAGGAAGGGTAGGAAAATAGGGGCGGTAGGAGAAGTTGGCGCGATGTCTCAGATACTGGGTTTCTCTCTTCTTTGTTTCTATTCCCGTTTTGGTTTGCGGGGGATTGAGACACTGGCTGGGACGAGACACTGTGCGAAAGATGGGATGGAGATAGGGTACGCAAACCACTGCGGCTGCGTCGACATTACTCATGTTACAGTGGCGGGGGATAAACACAGTGGGCTCGCCAATCGGGCTTCAACCGTCGCCGCCGTCGTCGTCGCTGTCTTGGACGTCTTGAATGGCGACTGAGTTTTGTCTAAGACCACAGCCACACGGCCGAATGCTGTTTACACCCACCTTGCTATCAACACTGGGTTTACCGGCTGTCTCATCCCATCATATCCCACCGTCCCCTCCCTCCAATCCCCTTCTGCGCCCTTTCGAACCCCGCGTCGCATTGCCTAAGCAACATCACCGTCGTGATGTTGCTCGCATACGTTTCTGAGCACGGGATTCGCGATTGGGCCTCCTCTCAACGCCCAGAGCCCTGGCACGCCGTGCTCAGCCGCAGGAAATCGCACCATTCAGCGCTCGTCGTTGCGGCTGCATTAAGCCAGCCCCGCAGCCGCTCGATTGGGATGAGCGGTTGGTTGGATCTATTGAGCTGTGTCCCTGTTAAGCTTGATGGAATGACGGGAAATGCAGCTATACTGTTCGGACTGAACCAAGCTGTGCATACGGTACTGTACGGGCACTCAGTCCTGCATAAGGGCTGCGATGTGCAAGTGCCGCGGCCCTGCATAGGATATGTGAACATAAAGTACTTATGTATGCATCCGCGACGGCCAGGGGGAGGGAGACACGAAGCAAACATCGGCCCTCTCCTCCCTGGAGCGATCAGGGGTGCATAGAGCAGAACTTTTCTTCGTGGTGTTTGAAGTACTACTTGCTTACCCGAATCACTTGCCACACAGAGAATCATATCACATCACACTCCTTAACTTATGGTTACATCGCGCCTCTGCCATTACAGTACAGCACCCCCCCAACCGCCCCAGCCGCCTCCTTCTCGCCAAACGCGCCCTGATAAGGAACGTAAGACACCCGTCATCCTAATCTCCCCCATCTCCCCGCCTCAGACATCTCCTCGGCCTTGTATGAGCGAGTGAGGGATGCTAGCCTCATCCGTTTAGTCCTGTCTCGAGCAGTGTATATCCCTACTCCGTACTAACATCGTAGACCAGAGCGGCACCACACATGATTGGCAAACCCAAACCCAGATCCTGAACCCCATCTACGAGTTGTTTTGGTGTGTTGGTGTGGAGGGGGGGGATGGATCGGAGGGATCAGAGGGGTCAGAGGGATTAGAGTGTTTGCAGTGTGGCTCGAGACAGCCTGGCCAAGGAGAATGGTTACCATATTTCCGGACCACTGTAGTCAATCGTAGATTCGCCCCGTACTTTGCGGGAGATCGGGCATAGTCTAGGAGGAAAGAGGGGGATGCGCGCAAGGACACGAAGATCTCTTGCTTTTTGGGTTCGGTAGCGGTACAGCGAGCTTTAACTCGGCGAGATTCTCTGGAGTTGGATAGCACAGTAACGTCCTGTTGTCTCCAGGAATCAGGGGAAGACACGCACATACACTGTATGTTGCAAAGAACGTATACAGGATCCCAACACCCCGTCTCTCTCGCCGTCCTAGCTCGCGAACAATTCCCCAAAGAGGCGCCTCCGTCTCCCTGCCCATTCTCATCCATCCCATCCAGTCCCCCCGTCGCATCCTCCCCGGCCCATGGCCTCCCCGGCCCATGGCCTCCCACCCCCCGTCCTCTACCCAGATCCCAAACTCCCCCATTGCCTTCCTGTACTACCCACGCAACACAGTGCAGCATGAGTCGAGTTGACATCACGGATGCCCTGCCGCGCCCCGGATGATCTCCAATGCCTCGCAACCATGTAAGGGGAAAGGTCGCCTGCTTCCGCGGTAGCGCCTCCTATACGTCCTCGTCGTCCTCCTCATCCCGTCCCTCCGCCGCGTCCGCCGCCGCGCCTGATTGGCATTCTCAACACACACAAAACCAGCCCCAGATGCGCCGCGCTGCATTTGACGTCCTCTTAGCCTGGGCCGGCACTGGCTGGATGGTCGCCCGTCAACGCGCCACACAACGAATGCGATCGTGTGGCGTCAATCCAGCCGCAACCTACATGGGATGCACACACAGACTGGCCGCTCACTCGTCCGCGGGCCATGCGGGCCACAACATGGACCATGGCACTGGTAAGTGGGCGGGCCCCAGCGAGCGACAAGGGGCAGGCAATCAGTGGATTGGGGGGCTTATGCAGTGAGGTGAGACAGCGGCATTTTGCCTGACAGGACTGGCGAGGTGCAGTGTAGTCCAGTACTTGTTGTGCGTGATGCTAGTGATGTACATCACGGCGATAGGCACTTTCTTTTGCTTGTTTGTGGTGGATGGTAGGCTGGAGAGGCGATGTCTCACCGGCGACTGGGCTGGGCTCTGCGCTGAGAGGGCACGGAGGTACTACACTGTCATGACCGAGCATCGGGGAGGGTCCGCGGCCAGCGGCTGTCTTTGCGCTCCAGGGAACACGACTCGCCGACGGCATGCTATAGACATATAGTAGGCAATAGTGTAGACATGCGCCCTGTTTTGTTTATATGGAGTTCGCGGGGTTCCGAGTCTCGAGTATCGAGAATCTAGCATGGTGTGCAATGCATCACGCCAGTCCCGGCGTGTTTGCGGTGTGTTGGTATATGCATAGCAATGCCAAAAACAATTATCGACCTCCTGTACGTACTATACATCTTTGCCGTGGCTCTTAGAAACCCATCCCCATCCAGCGCATCCCTCCACATCGCCCACTATTCGGGCAGCATTCGCGCATTAGAACCACTCAACCCTCGTCCTCGCCCCTTGTTTATGCGTTACCGCATTTCCGGGAGCGGGCAGTAGAGAGTTTCCCCGGCGTTTCCCAAGCCCATCGTTCATCACCGCTTCGTGACCGAGATAAGGGTTTCCATGTAGAATCAATCTCCCTGTATGACTTCCCTGTGCAGGTTCGGTTCGGGCGCGTCGCACAGTATAGTGGCATACGCGGAGCGATCCTGCACCTATCCTTTATCCCCTCCCAGCCATGGACAATGTGAGGTTGCAGGGAGCTGGAGGGGGTTTCGGCGAGCATGCAAACATCATTCAGCTCTCCCTTCCTTGCCTGTATACCATATTGTGTGTGTGAACCTTACCTCTCCCCCTGAAGGGGCTTGCTACTCCACATCACCAGGTGCAAGAAGGCCCAGTCCGTCGCGCATTCATTTTGAATGTCTTTACCCTCCCGCTGTAGTTACCCTCAGCGCAGCCTATAGAGCCCGCAATAGCAAACACCCCAATACGGCGTGTTTTATGCCCGCCAACCGATGGCGATATCGCTATCCATCGCCACCATATGCCCTCCCATGCCTTAACATCCCCCTAGCACGCCAACTCAGGACCGCCTGCCACCACCCATCGCATGCCTACGCCAACGCCACATCGCCGCTGCCGAGTCCGCCGTCCCTATCTCCGCCTCCATGCACGCTGCAAACACCGCTTCAAGCCCCCGTTCTGTCGCTGGCCGTTCGACGCCTGGAGCCCTGTACAGAGTACTCGAAGTGCATTCCTCGGGCGCTGGTGGGAGCCGGTTCGGTTGGCAGACCAGGCCGGGCTGGACTGGGGCGAAGTGGCGGTGGTGCTTCTTGTTGTTGGTTGCTGGTAGAATGAGAATGTCTAGGTTGGTAAGGCGTCCATATCGAAGTCCAGATCCGTAGGTAGTCACACCGTCGTCATAGCAGAGCGACGATGTAACTCACGGGACCTTCATTCATCATCGATTCCTCATTCCAGAAACAACGTTGTTGCATACGTACTGAAGAGACCACCAATGTTGACTCCCAATATTACCCTGACCCAGCAACCAGACAAGCCTTCCTTCTGGATATCTTACGCAAAATCTGAGAATCGATTAAGCCTAAACCCGACGCCTACGCGCCTACCCGGCGGGCGGCCTATCGATCAAGCCAAGGTCCAAAGACCAACCAACGACCTAGATGTCAAATGTCGAACTCATATCTGGCTCCTGGCACAGAAGACAGAAGTACATAACTTACATCGCCGCTAATCGCGGCCGATCGCCCTCGCCCCAACAACCATCCCTACCCTCCTCCCACTACATCCCCCCCGCCACTTCGCCCCTCCCATCCCGCTCCCCCTTACCCCTTCCATCCTCGAACGCCTCCTCTCGGAGGAAACTTACCACTAAGAGTGCATACATACGCCGCATACATACGCAGCCCAAGTCCTCCAAGCACGATGCTACTTTGGTTATCTCTCCTCCCCCTCCCCCTTCGCTCACCCCTGCGCACGTCTCTCGCGGTACTGTACATCCCGATCCCCCCCCGCCCGGACGACCCACTCTCTTAACCAAGGGTGGCGGCGCTCTCTCTTTTTGATCTGAGACCAGTACCCGCGTATTTACTCTTCGCGCTCACGGCTGCATGTCCTCGTTTGTTACAAGCATTGGCACGGCGGGCGAGTCTTAGAAGGGGGGGATCTGATCTAGGAGGGATGGTGAGTTGACGACTGGGGAGGAGGGGAAAGGAGGGGAGTCTAGGAGGGTACGGGTTTTTTTTTATATATAGGGCGTCCTCCTTCCTCGCTGGGGAGGATGAATGAATGTGAGAAACAGGCAACAAAGAGTTCTTGGTTTATACTTTACTATATTATACAACGGTGGCTTTACTCTTTTATCGTTCGAGAACAGACAGACATCTATAATTACGGAAGCTACGTTAATAAGGCAGACACGACAGATATATACGAAAACACACAAAGATCAGTGCAAGGGTTCCTCGAGCGAAAGACAGCCATCCTCGCTGCTACGCTCATCACTGCCATCCGCAGCCTTGCTTTTGCAAGTAAGTCGTTGAGGCCCAAGGCTGGCTGGGCCGGCATTCTCATCTCGCGGCATGCCGTTTCTAACATTCCGTCAGATTCGCTCCCATCACCCCATCGACTCCCTCCAGCCTCGTTCTCATCTCTAAAAGACGACGGGAGACCAGTTGAGATTCCTCATCACCTCGCTATACTGTACGAATCCCTACCTACCCCTCCAAACTGAACCCGCGGCTGCCGCCGTGGCCCCAAGCACAACGCCGTGCAACATCGAAATCACACCAGCATCGTCCAAATAGCTAACACCACCATGCAGTGCACAGCTCGAGCTCCGCCTTGCCAGTGCATGATTCGCTGCCTTCCAACCTGCACCACACAAGCTCCGCCTTATCTGCACACTGCGTGTAGGCACCCCGCCGAGAACAGTAACCACCAGGTCTGCTATTAGGCACGACGAGCCGTGAGCGGCCCTGCATCCTTCTCTCTCCTTCGCATCGTCTCTCGGCCCGCGCTGCTGACTTTGAGACGACGACGATATGGTCACCGTTCCAAGCTTCGACCGCGTCAACTGGTCGAGTGAGACCGAGCGTAAACCCGAAATTCAGTCCAGCACAATGACCACTTACTTTGAAGAAACGCGCGCTTTGGCGCAGGCAGCGAAAAATATGGTAAGCATCAGGGCCATCGTACTAGACAATGGATCGAGCCTAACGTACTACAGGCCATCAACATCGCACTGAGTGAGTACTGCGGTATCGAATCCGCCGCCTATGCTCTCGCAGTGATCCGTCCAGACGGCAGAGTCGCTACCTTCGTCTCTGATGAGGTGAAGACGGATTCCAAATTCCTCTTCACATCTGCCTTCCACAACGAGTTCCTGGTCGCTACGGGCCGGGCACCATCGCGTACGTCCCATCTATCCAACTTCACGATCACCACTAACCCAGCGCCCCAGATCCCATGCTCAAGCATGAATCAGATGGAGAGGCGTCGTACACGCAAAACGATCTCCGCAGCACCCGCTACCTCAGCCAACTCGGCCCATACCGCAAGCGCACTCCTCCCCGCTCCCATAACGCATACGACGATGATTCCTCCACCGACTCCTCCGGTTCCCGCAAACGCCTCCGCGCCACTGCTACTCGCTCCCGCGAGCGCGCCATCCCTACCCTTCCCACCCGCACGATCTCCATCGGCGACGACGCCGCACGCGATGATGTCTATCGCCAGTGCCTCAAGGATATGCAGCAAAATGGATGCAAGGTTCTCGGAAAGGCATGGGTCAAGCTTCTCGAGCCAAAGAAGCAGTCTACGTACCCATACACCAAGGGTGCGTCGAAGAGGCCTCCGTGGTGGCCCGCAATGACGGGGCCAAACAAGATTAGGCATAAGGAGCCAGATCACTTGCACAAGCGTGGTATGTTACCGCCTCTCCAGTTTGAGATAGACTCGAGCTGACAAAGTATCCAGAGCGCATCATCCTCCTCATGCACATCCTCGGCCTCATCATAAACCAAGACCCCACCAGCGTGGCCCGCCAACGCGGCGTCGACGTCGCAAAGCTTGAAGAAGTCACCCGCGAAGCCATGGCCACCTGGTTCGCCGACCGCGAAAAGCCAAAGAACGCCGAAAAGCGAGGCTACCTCACCCAGCTCTTCCGCGTCCTCTACAAAGAAGAACGCTACCGCCGCGGCGAGCTCGACGGCTCCGCAACCGTCTCCGTCAACGACGGCGCCGGAACCACTGACGACGACGACGACTCCGACCCATGCCCACACCACCACCAGGCCCACCCCATCTCGCCATTCCTCCCAACCCCATCATCCTCGCTACTCTCCCCATCCCACCCAATCACCTCCACCGCCGCAACAGACATGCAAGACTACTACCCCCCCGGCCTCCCCCTCCGCTCCTCCTACATCCCCACCACCCCCGACACCACAGCCGCAGACGACTACGCCGATGCCCCTTACCCAATCCACCACCACAGCACCCTAACCCACAATCAACACCCCCAACAACCACCCACCTACCCCACCCGCGCCTGGCCCGCACAGGAAATAAACATCTACACCGGCGGCTCCCCATGGCCGACGCCCCCAGCCGCGACCTCGGTGCCAATGCAGCACTTCCCCTTTGGGATCTCCACCTCCTCGCCGCCTCAACAGCAGGGGCAAGGCGCGGTGTTTCTGCCTCCGCCAATGGCACAGGGGTACGAGGATGTGAATGGTGCGAGGGGAAGCTTTGATGGGGGATGGGAAGTCATTTGATTGAAGTCGTTTGATTGACAGGTGTTCGCGCTTGCTTTGGTTTGCTATGGTTTTTCTTTGGACCTGGTTTGCCGGCTTGGATGGGTGGTGGTTTGCTTGTGGGGCGGGATGATACCATGCGCTATGCAGTGCTCTTTCGTTGCTTTATTTGTTTCTTGGCTTTGCTTTGCTTGCTTAATGCAATGGGGTGAGATGGAGATGGGATGGCCTTACACTTCCTCCGCGGGGCTTCAACACGACAATATTGATCTGAGAGGAGTGCGATTTGGCAGTTCGATTGGGTTCTCTTTTTTTGTTTTTGTTTTTCATTTGTTTATGTTTGTTGCTTGTTCTTTCATTTGTTTTTGGGCGGCTGTCTGAATTATTTTTATGGGCTTGGAATGGGGGATGTTGGGTGGAGTATAATGATGATGACAGATGAGGGATGACTAGGTTAAGGATGGGAATGACAACGACGAGATCGATATGAGAAAGATGAAACGCTGGAAGAAGCGCGAAGAAGGGGAGTGGCTGGCAGGCGACGGCTATAATATATACCTTAACCTACCACCAAAACAACAAAACAAGATATAGGATAAATAAATAAATGGTATCATTGTTATCCCAAACCTCATTCATGCATCATCCATCTGAGAACTGCACTGCCTATGTGACTTCCCCTATATAACTGCGTCAAATCTGCACTTTTCACTTGGTAAGACACTGCGTCAGCATTCAACATCCCACTAGTGATCCATCCCTCCCCAAGGCGTAGAAGCCAGTGGCCAAGGCCTACCCGCACGAGAACTCTCTGCACGAGAACTCTAGTTCACCGAGGCTTACAATAAGCGCACCCTACTAAGCAAACTGTAGCTCTAGGGCTCGAACGACTGAGTTCCGAGGAGGAAGTTCTGATGGAGAAAACCCCATTTCGTGAAATCTGGTCATACGTGGTAGTCGTATAGCCCTCCTGCTTGATATGTGCAAGGTGGCCCTAGAAGCTGTGTGTGACTGGTGTTAGCCGTAACAGAGAAGTCTGCAAAATCATTTATATTAATATTGACATTTAAATTTAAATTTATTACTGCCAGGGGACCACAGCGCACGGTCCTTAACCGAAGAAGCACGGAAGCGTTTAAAATTGTCTATAGGTGCGCGAAAAGCGGCGTGGAGGGGGGCGGCAGCAGCAGGCCGCCTGCTGCCGCCAGATCACTACCACATTACTGCCAGATTGCTGAAAACACCGCTCGAGGACACCATGAGGACTGTGGCTCACGGTCCTTCACCGAAAAAGCGCAAGGCGGTCTGAAGGTGACTATAAATGCGCAATATCACGGCAAGAGGAGTAGCAGCAGGGACGGCGACAGTGGCTGCTGTAGTCTGCTACTAGATCACTACTAGGCTACTCACGGTACAGGATAGCTCGCAAATGCGCAAAACCGGCGAAGGGTTGTGCCGGCAGCGCAGCAGCAGCAGTGTGTTGGCGGCCAGCTTCTGCTTGATTGCTGCCAGATTTCTGCCAGATTGCCGCCAGATCACCACTAGGCGACCGTGGTGCACGGTTGCGAGCTGAACTTTGCGCAAAACCATCTATGATTGTCTACAAATGCGCAAAATTCAGCGTAGAGGTGGGCGGCAACAGTTGTAGCAGCACTCCTCCTGCACTCTGCTGCTAGATTGCTGCCAGATCACCACAGACGACTGTAGTGCACGGCCCCCAAGCGAGAGTGCGCAGAGGGCAGTTCTAAAATGCGCGGAAATCAGTGAGGAGGGGGCGGCAGCACTGGTGCACTGTTGCAGTCCGCCGCCAGATTGCTGCCAGATTACTACATACTAGCGACTGTGGCGCATGGTCTGCAAGTGAAAATGCGCAGGATTGGCTAAAACTGTTAAGCAATGCGCGAAACCGGTGAGGGTGGGGCGGCAGTGGTCGTGGCAGGCGGCGTGTGGCTGCCACGTGGGGAGGAAGAGGGCGGCTGTGGGTGGACAAACTTGGTGGTGATAGATAGGGGGAGGGGGCACGGAGAGATGGGCAGACATGCACGAATGTTTTCATAGTTGTTGCCGTGGGAAGACCAAGGCACACGGACGGCTCCTCACAGACCTGTTGACACTCTCTGCTATGTTATGGAGGAGAAGCAGCTAATTCCCCTACTGCACTATGGAAAGGGTGATAAACAAGTTTGCGTGAGCTGGAGATGAGTCTCCTTCGTTGCCCCCACCCCCCTTGGAGAAATACAGAGTTCTTATGATGTCTAAGCAAGTCTATAGATGTTCATTCCCTTTCTCCACCCTACACTACCCCTTTTCATTCCCGAGTTTGCCCACACCCGCTGCAACTGTCCAACCGCACGCAGCTGCTCCCACCCTCGCCATCTTGCTTCTATTGCTATAGATGCGCGTATAGATGCAATTGCTACTCTCACAGTGAAAATGTGGTTTGTACTTGCTAGGTGCTGCTGTAGCTGTAGTTTGTGCTCGCGCTGTTGGGGTTGTGGTGGAGATGTGGTGGCACCCAACTCTGCCATTTAGACACCGCGCCGCAATAGAATAATGGCCATATAGAGAGTCAGACAGAAATATCAATAAAGCCCCATCCATCCATCCACCCTTTCATCACCTTGGAATCTCTTTCGTCCAAAGACAATTGACACATCACAGGCCCACAAAGACACACATCCACATCCACATCCATATCAGCGCAACAAAACACGAAAACGGCCAAATTCTAAACCTCATATCACATCATATTATTTTCTTCCACTCCCCTCTACATCTCATCAAGAAATTCTACCACAACACAGTCCCCTTTCTTTCCTCCTTCCATTCCTCCTTCCGTTCCTTTCCATCATTCCTCCCTCCCTCCTTTCTTTCTTTCATCACCAACAACCACAACCACCAGCGACATCATAAACCACCACCACCAACATTCCAACATTCCACCCTCCAACATTAAAAACAAAGAATTACAAAAACAGAGCAACAACAACCGCAAATAATAATGAAAGAAGATTTTCGATCTGATCAGCGAACAAAATGATCCTCAAAAAAAAGCTAAGATGGCGAATATCATCCATCGGGGACATGGGGCAAAAAATCAACCATCTACATCAACCCCCCCGCCACAATCCCCATCCCCCCAACGCCCCCCCAGCGCCCCCCCCAACCCCCATCATCCCCCCTCAAACTGCCCCCAATCTCCAACCCTTCCTCCACAATCTCCAGCCCCCCCTCTTCGAGCCCCATCAAACTCCCATGCCTCGCATGATGCGACACAACAGGGTTCGAGTGGCCAGGGTGCGAGGAGGAGGAGGAGATGTTATCGAGATTAGCCGCCACCTGCTGCTGAAGGGACGAAAGCTCGTCCTCGCCTTCGTAATCCTCCTCCTCCTCGTCGTCTTCGCCGGAGAGGGAGGCGTAGGCGCCGCCGTCGCTGGAACCGTCGCCGCGTTCGTGGGTGCGTCTGTGTCTGTTTTTTTATTAGCTGAGGCTCCTCGAAAAACAAATCCTCCCCCCCGCTTCACTAACCCCCCAAATCGGGAAAGCTGACTGACAAAAGGGTAGATTACAGGAAAAAAAGGAATACTCACTGCGCAAGATTATCACTCCTCGAAAACGCCTTCCTACAAACCCCACAAACATACGGCCTCTCCTGCGTATGCGTCCGCACATGCCTTTTCAGGTGCTCTAACCGCTTAAACAGCCTCCCACAAGTCGGAATCGGACACGAGTGGCTCTTCTGCGGATACGGGCTCCCGAGCTCCATGATCGTCGCGCTCCGAGCCCTGCGCACCGCGCCGCTGACGCCGACATTGCTGCCGCTGGCCGTCACGCTGCCGCCGCGCCGGCTGTCCAGCACGCCGTTGGATTTGGAGGTGGACTCGAAGTCGGGAGAGAGGTCGGTGGTGAAGTCGTGGTGTAGGGAGAGGGGGTGCACGCTGCCGTTGCTGGAGCCGTCGGGGGTGCCCGTGCGAGAGAGCACGAGAAGGTCCTTATGGTGGTGCGCCATAGCGTGGGCAGGGTAACTCAACCTCGGTGACCTAGGCTCTACATCCTCCGACACAGGGTCCACAGAATTCGAGACCGAGCGACGGAGATCGCTAGGTCTGTGAGGAGGGTGGGAAGTAGTCCGCTGCTGCCCCCCCTGCGCCGGGGTAGGAAGCGCCGACAATCCCGGCGGAATCGACGATCGCCGTCTCCTCTGCTTATAAGTCGCCGACCCCTCAATAACCGAGTACGACGCCCCATACGGCCTCGTGTACGCCGGCCCGGGGAGCGACGTAGGCGGCATCGACATCATCCCGTGCATATGAACCATGTGCTCCGGAATCGCCGAGTACAACCCCGTATCCTCATTCGCGATATACGTCGGCTCGGGGCCCATCCCCGACGCCTGTGGGGGGGTGATCGGCTCGAACGACAGGCCGCGCGAGGTGTAGTCCTCGTAGTGCGACGACACGAAGGAGGGCGCGGGGGAGTACTCCATCCCGTAGGCGGGCATGGAGGCGTGGCGCTGGTGGGTCTGCGTGAGCGGGACGCCGTTCTGGTTGTATTGTAGCCGTCCGAAGTCGTGCTCGCGCTTGACGACGTGTTGGGCCATGGTGGGCATGTTCATCTGCGCGTAGGCGAGGTGCTGGGACATGTCGTCTTGCATTGGCATTGCTTGTGGGATCATCTGGGGTGGGGGCATGGAGTCTATGGCGCGCATGACGGGGGAGGTGGATTGAGATTGCGAGTAGGATGGCTGATGTTGTCGTTGTTGTTGCTGGTGCTGTTGCTGCTGCTGCTGTTGTTGCTGTGCGGAGAAGGACGACGAGTTGGCCTGCTGCGCCTTGGTGAGCTGCTCAAACAGCGACTGCGAGGAGTCAAACTCAAACGACAACGCGGGCTCGTTGGTTGCCATGGTCGTCGCCTCCTGGCCCATCTTCTCGCGCTTAAGGTCGCGCTCGAGCGCGTCGAGGAAGAGGCGGTCATGCGGGACGCTGTACCAGTAGAACACCTTCTGCTTCTTCTGCGTGCGGATGCAGTTGTTCTTGTACAGGAAGTCGAGGAAGCCGCTCTTGGGCTCCTCGAGCGACGCGTCGGTGCCCGACTTGAGGTTGCGCAGGTCGGAGAAGATGCCCTCCTCGAACTTCTTCGAGTTCTTCACGGGCCGGCCGAAGGCTTGGAAGCGGAACGAGAGGCATCGTACGATGTCGGTGCCGGAGATGTGGAAGAGGTTGTTCCTGGGGGGGAAGGGTTAGTTGGGTTTTCGCTGTTAGGCGCCTTGATGGATCACTCACCACAACACACACGACACGTATTCGCCGGTAGGTAATAAAAAGCGTCTAATGTACTGATCGGACGTCCAGTCAACCGGTGCCGAGATAAGGAAATATTTGACTACATCGCATTAGTCGGAGTTGCTCGGCATCATCACCACTCGCGAAGCCGTCGCGGATTCGGAAACTCACGATTATCAACCTGCTGCAACGCAACCTGCGCATCCTGCGGCAGGCTCTGCTGCGCCTCACTACTCAACATGAACGTCTCCGGCTTCTGCGGCGGCGCCATCGATGCATGCGCATGATGCTGGGGATACATCATGTGCGCCATGATGCGCGAGGTTCGAAACGCCGACCTAAAACGGCGCGCGTGTGCGAGGGCTGGTTATCGACGTCGACGTCGGGTGGTGGTTCGCGGTTGAAACGACTACGGCGTGGAAGAGCAGCGGCGCGGCGCGGCACGGTGTGAAGCGCGCGCGGTGTCGTGTGTCGTGTCGTGTTGTATTGTGTTATTGTGTTGGACAGTTGTGGTGTCGATGGTGCGGAACGTGTTTACGCGCGGTGGACCAATCGCTCTTCTCAGTCTCAGGACCAGCCTCAAGTTTCGATAGCGATAGCGATGGCCAAAAGAAACGGATGTGTGTGTGGGTGTGTTGTACTTGTTTCGCGCTCGGCGGGGTGAGGTGAGGTGTGAAGCGTATGCTGTTGCGGAGGAGTAGCGACGAGGTCAACTCGGGGCTGCTATTCAAACTCGACTCTGGGGACGGTGTGTTTTGCAAAACCCGCTGGGTCTTGGGAAGGGGGATGGGCGAGGGCGGTTTCGTCGAGCGGGTGTGAGATGATCCGCGGCTGATGAGGGCGACAGTGCGTTGATTCTGTTTTCTCCGCGATATGTAACGCGCAGATGCTTTCGCGATTGACGGTTGGTAGTATTGGATGGGATAGATGGTGTATGAAGATGCTCGCCTGCGACGTTTTGGAAGTGGGGTAGTAGTGCTGTAGGGGAAACGGGAGATGAAGCAGAAAAAGAGAGACTGGGAGATGCAAAGGAATGCAAAGAATGGGATGCAAAACGAGAAGGGAAAGATGGATGAGGGAGGACGAGGAAAGCGTCAGATGGGTTTGAGGATGGGGGGGGGTGTATGGTGTATGGGGAGGGGGGGGGATTTAAAGGGAGGTGGTAGGGATTTGGGGGGGGGGGGTGTGTGGATGGATGGGGATGTAGGATGGGGATGTAGGATGGGGGTGTGGTGGTGGTAGGTGTGGTGGTAGTGGTGTGTGGTGTTAGGTGTGGTGGTAGGGTGGTAGGGAGAGGGTGGTAGGGAGAGGGTGGTAGGGAGAGGGTGGTAGGGAGAGGGTGGTAGGGTGAGGGTGGTAGGGAGAGGGTGGTAGGGTGAGGGTGGTAGGGTGAGGGTGGTAGGGTGAGGGTGGTAGGGTGAGGGTGGTAGGGTGAGGGTGGTAGGGACTGTGGGTGGTGGTAGGGTGTTAGGGTGGTAGGGTGTTAGGGGATGGGTAGGTGGTAGGTGGGTGGTGGGTGGTGGGTGGTGGGTGGTGGTAGGTGGGTGGTGGGTGGTGGTAGGTGGGTGGTGGTAGGTGGGTGGTGGTAGGTGGGTGGTGGGTGGTGGGTGGTGGTAGGGTGTTAGGGGTGGGGGTAGGTGTTAGGGGTGGGGGTAGGTGTTAGGGGTGGGGGTAGGTGTTAGGGGTGGGGGTAGGTGGTAGGTGGGTGGTACAGTAACAACTGTAGAGGGTGTTAGGGGGGTGGTGGTAGGGCGGTAGGGGTGGTGGTAGGGCGGTAGGGGTGGTGGTAGGGCGGTAGGCGGTAGGGGTGGTGGTAGGGCGGTAGGCGGTAGGGGCTGTGGCTGTGGCTGTTAGGGGTGCCCGAAACACGGAAGACGGAGAAGAAAGGAACTCGCTCCCATCAATCACCCAACCACGTGCCCCCCCCATCCATCTATACTTACACCCAACCACGTGCCCTCCCCCCCTCCTCCAATCCTCACCACAGCAAAAATACGTACCTTTGTCCCAGCGACACGCCCATATCTAGCGTCTTGGCATCATCCACATCCCACACCCACGCCCCCCCCTGCCAAACGCCCCACCAAGACGAAACCCGTGGACCAATGCGAACACCCCACTCCCACTGCCACTCCCCGTCCGTGCCTGCCAAGAAGGGGTTTCAGATGAGCCGCTCCGTGCGTCCCATGCTCCTGTGAACCTGCATCTAGACCTACGATGATGCATGGAGCTTTGTCTGGTTTGTTTATGGCTATTTGTGGAGCTTGCTGTACGGATCGGGGGAGCTGGCCCGGGGGGGGCCTGCGTTAGCTCCAGGGGAGTGCATAGGCAGGTCCATGTGGGCAGCTGGGCAGGGGGGAATGGATGGATGGATGGATGGAGGGATGGATGGAGGGATGGATATCGATTAAACGGTGGGGAATGAACGGCGTCTCCGATGTTATGCATATGATGCGTGGTGGTATTTATAGATTCGCCCCCCCCCCCCCCCCTTACATGTCAGTGTGTGTGTGTGTGTGTGTGTGTCTGTGTGTCTGTGCGGCGAGGATATCGGAGTTTCTTCCTGTCCAGAGGGGGGGCGTGCATTTGGGTGTAAAAGAGTTTTTCACGTTAATGCTAACCACTAAACCTAATATAATACAGAGATCTTACTAATACGATACACGGTTCTGATATCCTTGCACCGATGTCGGGGTTGGTAATCAAAATCACCAGTGAAGCCGGTGATCCTAGTGCAAAGCCCCGAGTGCTGTTCTTGGCTGTTGGCTGATGGGTTGATAGAGGGGCGGATGGATGGATGGATTGATAGGTGGAGGGGGATAGCGAGGACGCGTATCGGCACCCAGGCAGCGGCGAGGCGGCTCGGTGTGCGTGATCTCCTTTCTGTCCATCCTTCTGCCGCCCGTTTGTTCACCGAGAGTGTGTAGAGAGGGTGCTCGTTACCATTGCACCTCAGAAGTCGAGAAGGGGACGTTCTCGTGAAGTGATACTGATATTAAAGCTAGTGATGAGGGTTTCTACTCTTTAGTTTCAAATCAGATACATAGCTAGGTTATTAAAGGAGGAGGGATATAATTTTAATATTATCGGATTTGAATACAAAAACGCTTTTTGTATTACCATCCACTCATAGAAGGGGGGTATACCTGCAATGAAGGATCTATATAGCTGTATTCTTTCCTCTTTGATACCCGGGGGGCTATTACACACTCCTATAACGGTATCACATCCATAATCAAATACACTAGCCCATACATGTAGGCGTCAGCTTTAATCACTTTTTGGTTAATAATAATACTAAATAGGTCCCGGTTATGCTCTTTTTATATCTAGATATTTTATATTTTATAGGTTTTTTTTAACTGCAATATAAAAAATCACATCTCGAGCAATATTAAATCTTCAAATGTCTCTTTAATTTATAATCGCTATAAACATCCACAGCCGCCATAGTGTCTGCGGGCTCATCCTAAAGTCTGGGTAACTGACTCTTTAAAACCACATACTCCGTACTCCCCCCCTCTTCTCATCATCTCCGCATCTCACCCTCACTTCCCCCTCCCCCTCCCCTTCCCCCTCCCTCCCTTACCCCCTCTACTCTTCGGCCCCTCAATCTCCCTAACCTCCTGTTTACTAATCCTCAACGCCCCCCCCACAAACCTCCCCACCCCCGGCGCCCCCACATCCCCCCTCCCCCCCCCCTTCCCCGCCCCCCCTCTCCTATCCCTCTCCTTCACCTTCCCCCCCATCCTCTCCAAAATAATCCCACCCTCCCTCGCCCCCTCCCTCCTTCCCCTCTCCCTCTCCTCCGCCTTCGCCGCTATCCCCTTACGCATATGCATAGGCATCTTCGCCTGCACGAATAACGATCCCTTGCCGCCGAGGGCTTGGATCCGGAGATCGGTCGCGCGGTGCCGGTTTGTGCCTTCGAGGGTGTGGGTTGTGTGCGAGGAGGTGGTGGAGGAGGTGAGGAGGTGGGATTCGGTGAGGAGGCGGTGCAGGGCGAGGTCGTTGGCGGTGTTGTCTTTGTCGGTGGGGTCGGTGGGGGTGGGCGTTGTGAGGGCTGTGGTGGCGGTGGAGGAGGAGGGAGGGCGGGCGGACTGGGGGGTGTTAGTTGGATTCTTGCTTTGGTGTTTGTTCATAGTCGTTGCTGGCTTTGGGATGGTGGGAGGGGTTGAGGTGGTAGAGGGCGGAAAGACGCCGGAGGGAGAACGTACCATGAAAGCTTTCAACTCTGCCTTTGACATCTTCGGCGCTGAGGCGGTAGAGGTATGTTCGACAACATCAACTTTCCGCCTCTTCACGCCGTCATCCTCATCGCTGTCTTCCTCATCGCCATCCTCGCTATTCCCAGAAAGCCCACCACATTCTTCATCTTCGTCCTCATCCTCTTCTACCACGACCGCACCCTTCTTCCCACCCTTCATCTCCTTCACATCAGGTAGCGGCTTAAACCTTGCCTCGAAATGCCGCCTAAATATCTCCGCCGCATCGAGCTCTTCCTCTTCCCCTTCCCCTTCCTCATCCTCGTCCTCGTCCTCGTCCTCGTCCTCATCCTCGTCGCTTGACCTCTCATCAACCTCTTTCGTCGCAGACTCCTCCTCTAAAACTCGAATTTTCCTCGCCGATACACCCTCCTCACGCTTCCGCTTCGTAGACACACTCTTAGCCATCGTTTTCGCTGCCATTGTCGTGATATGCTAATCGCGAAATAAACTCGTCGTCTCGAACATTGCCTCAAGGCGCTACAAATTATTTTTCTCAGCCTCGCGTGCACGGACCCTTCCGTCGCCGGCCCTCCCCCTCCACCACACCACCCCTCCTCCTCGCTGTGCCAATTCCCGATTCCCAGCCACAAAACATAATTACACGGCACCTAAAATAAAGGCAGGCACAATGACCCGATTCCGCCCCTGCATCGACCTCCACGCCGGCGCGGTAAAACAGATTATCGGCGGTACGCTGTCTACTTCCTCCCCGAACACGCTGAAGACGAACTTCGTATCGACCCTCCCCGCGGAACACTTCGCGAAACTATACAAGGAGAACAGATTAGATGGGGGACATGTCATAATGCTTGGACCGGGGAATGAGGAGGCTGCCACGCGGTCGGTGGCGGAGTGGAGGGGGGGGTTACAGGTTGGAGGCGGGGTGAGGGGGGATAATGCTGCGAAGTGGATTGAGAGGGGGGCGGGGAAGGTGTGTTTATTTTCCTTTTGCGATGGGGGCTGCAGGTGTTGATATGGATGGTTTGTGAGGGAATGAATGGCTAATGGGCGCAGGTGATAATAACATCGTACCTCTTCCCCTCCGGCGCCTTCTCGCAGGAGCGCCTCGACGAGGTGCTTGCTGGGCTGGGTGGGGACAAGGAGAAACTCGTTATTGACCTGAGTTGTCGCCGAAAAGATGGGACGTGGTTCGTGGCTATGAACAAGTGGCAAGATTTGACAGATATGGAGATCACTGAAGGTAAGCCTCCCCCTCTACCGTCTCCCTCCCCACCACTCCCCCAACCCCCCCGACAACCCAGACAACCAAGCTAACCCCAACCCCAACCCCCCAGAATCAATCAAATCCCTCGAACCCTACACCTCTGAATTCCTCATCCACGCCGCCGACAACGAAGGCCTCCAACGCGGCATCGACACCGACCTCGTCCGCGCCCTCGGCTCCTGGTGCTCCATCCCCGTCACCTACGCCGGCGGCGGACGCAGCATCGCTGACCTCGAGCTCGTCAAGAGCTTGAGTGGCGGGAAGGTCGATCTCACGATTGGGAGCGCGCTGGATTGCTTTGGAGGTGCGTTGCCGTTCGAGGAGTGCGTGGCATGGAATCGGAAGCAGGAGTCGGAGGAGGGGAAGTGATGAATCTGGGGTGAAGGGTTGGAAAGGCGCTTTTGGGTAGAGGTGGGGGGGTGGGAAAAGCCTGGATGTTTATAGAAGAGGGAGATTTATTTGGGTATAAGTGCTATAGAGTAGGTCACTACAATAACTCAAAGCGCTTGACAATGCAGTATATTGCATGCTAGCTCGCTCGGTCGCTCGAATTCTTCTATCTTGGTATGAGTGCTACTAATACAATTCTCAGAACCAAAAACCAAAATTACGTTCGACGAATACCATATCGCTGCCTAATAAATACCACAAGGTTTTCACTACCCAGCTATTATTGGAGTCACGCACCAACTGTCCAAGATGATCTATTCGCGTTTGGCTCTACAATCCACACTATAATAACCGGCCTTTACCCTTTTCAAGAGATGGACAGCGACGAAGTCATTAAACGCTACGAGGCTCACGAGTGGCCCGACTTGACGGGAGTACTGTGTGGAGAGATAATTGAGCAATGCTGGCGGTGCGAATTTGTTTCTGCGAAGGAAACAACGCCATTCAAGAGAAGATGAAGACGAGTAAGATTGATATTCCCTTCCTGGCTCTACAACCACAGCTAAAGAGTGCTACTTTAGTTGACAAATTGGAGACATCCTAACAACAATCTAGCCGTCTCACCACAGACTTCTCCCACCAAACCAGCATTCAAGCACCACCCCCCCCAACCGCCTCCCATCCCCTCACCGCCCTCGCCTCCTCGAGCTGCACACACCACCACAGCGCCTCCTTCGCTTTCCCCTCCATTCTCGCATCCTCATACGCCCTCGCAAGCCCAAACCACGCCTCACTATCATTCCACCCCCCTCCAAGCTTCGTCAAGCGATCCAGCAAGCCGTGTGCGCGATCACGCGCCGCCAGCCTGTCGAAGAGCGAGAGCTTTGTTGTAGGCGGTGCTGGGCCCTGAGAGGGCGGCGGAGGCAGCCCGAGAGGTGTCGAGGTGGTGGAGGTATGGGTTGATGGCTTGTGCGAAGTGGAGGTTGCGGAAGCGGAAGCTGAGGGCGGCGTGGCGATGGTGGGGATGGAAGGTGGATAGACGAGGGTCTCGGACGAGATGTCGAGGAGGATGTTGGAGAGTCCTACGATGGCGGCGGGGTGGTCGGGGAAATGGGTCAGTGCGGACTCGAAGTGTGATAGCGCCACGAATGGCCATGATTCCGCGAGGGAGACTTGTCCGCGCTGTGAGGTGTTAGCAAGGTGTTTTGTTTGAATCGGGGTTAAGACTTACCTCCGTACACACGTCCGCCCAGAGCTCCTCGACGCTCTTCCCTACTCCCCACTCGCGTGCGTCAACAAGAAGCTGCCCGCTCGCATCGCGCAGGATATCCTCCTCCAGCCCTTGGACGAGCTCGCTGGCGGCTTCGATGGAGACCTTGGCATCCTCATACTGCTCTGCGCGGCGATAGAAGCCGGATATCAGGAGCCAGACGCGCACTAATATCCCAATGTGGTGTCGTCGCGATTTACTCGGCGGCAAGCGCGTTGCCGGGCTGCTGAAAGGCAATAATGAATATGACTTCAACGGCTTCGTACCCTGTCCGTTAGGTCGAGAAGCCTCTTGCGCCTGTTGAGATGTGCTATCAACTATTTTCGTAGGCGAGATCTCCCCGTCACTCGCTGGATTCGACGTCGCTTTCGAGGTAGCTACATTCTGATTCCGGATGCTAGCGTGGCTCAACTTATGGGCCAATTTGTCTCCTTTGTTGGTCTTTGTTGAGGGGTGCTGGCTCCGCCGAGTGAGTTTTGCTGACGCGCCACTCTCTCCTGTCAGCTGGATCTTTGGAGCCGCGGTTGCAGTTGTTTGAGAGGTTGGTGGCCGGGAAGCAGTGCTTACGTTTTCGGTCGTAGATGAGGCAAACGTCGTGGCACCAGGTGCATCGCGGTTGGAGCGTTTTGAGCGTCCAAATATGCTGCCTTTAACGCTGCGAAGAGTGCTAGTTCCGGTGGCCGGAGAGATTTGCTGCGACTTCCTTGGACTGGCAAACGGAATTTGGGTCTGGCCAAAAAGCCTTGAATAGAGACTTAGAAGCTCTTCAGTCCCGTTGACGGCGACGTCTGGCCCGTCTTGGATCTCGATAAGAAGCAACTGAGACATTTTGACTTCTATAATTGCCTCCTTCTCATAGTCGTCCATATCGTCAATAGCCGAACTGTGCTTTTCTTGCATGCCATTCAAATGCTCGCTCTGGTAGTCTTCTTCCCTCTCGCCGAAAAGGGCTTTTAGGTCGCCAAATTGCTTAAAGGCGCCCTCGCAAGCATGGAATGCTTCCGTAAATTGCTCTTTTGCGCTGAGCAACAGCGCTAGTAAATGCCACAGCCGTATTAGAGACCTCTCTAGGGCAAATTTGGCAGGGTTTGGGGCTTTGTCGGCATTTCGTTGTGGTGCTAACGCAACTCCAACAATCTGGATGGCCTCTCCAATCTGTCGTCTCTCTGAAAGGACCAATGCAAGTGCAAATAGGGTATCAACGTCATCAGTGCATTCGTACTGTGGTTTCAGCGCTGTTCGTAGATTCGTGATAGCTTTCGTTTGGTATTCAGGTCGTGATTTCGCATCAGGAGTCAATCGTGCCCACTGAGCATTACTTATGCCAATTGCACGCCAAGCGTGCGCATACACATGAGGTGAGACTGTGGACGTTTCCGCGGTGGTACCATTCCCGAGCAGCTTTTTGTTACCAATTGTAACCCCGCTAGAGTCGCCATTGGTCAACTCCTCCTGGCTATGTGACGGGTCGTGCTGTTCTAACCATGACTCGAAAAAATGGGCAAGTTTCTTTGCTTTCTCAGCCCCGGCAAGCCCTCCAAACTGGCAAAGAGCCCTTATACACTTGGATGCCGTGACTAATACATCCTCGTTGCTGTCCAGTGAATGTTCTGGTTCTCCTGTCTTTTGCACCCGTTGTTTCCCTTTATTGACAATCTGAAAGTATGTGTCAAAGGCTTTGAAGGCTAGTTCAAAGTCGGCGAGAGCTAGATGGACTGTGAAGAGGCCTCGTAGAATCTGGGTTGAATGGAACGTTTTTGTGGCGGCCCTGTAAAGGATTTCGAGCACACTACGGCTGATGCCAACTCTCCCACCAGATCCGAGATCGTGCTCATCCCAACAGCTGCCACACAGCACCGCCCAGTTGCCTAATACAAACTCAACCAATTCCTCAATCTCTTCGCTACTTTGTTCCGCCTTTGGGAAATGCGCCTCTTTGAGAAGTAGAGATTCATACCGTGCTTCCACTCGCGCCAATTCACCTCGCTGTATGATCCTCATTCCATGGTTGTTGGTGGTTGCCCCCAGGGCAGTGGATGGGTATGGCAGGTCGCTTTGGACAATAAACGAAAGCGTGGCATAATATTCCTTCCAAATCAGCCGTCTCGGCACGTCCGCTTCCGTTGCATATCCCCCAACTGCCGCCGTCGACGAGCTCGCCAGTCTTTCCCAGAAATCCGCCCATGCTCGGAATGCCACCAAGGTCTCTGCCTCCATCCTCGGTGAAGCATTGCTCTTTATGGACTGGCTCGTGATTAGGCAGAACTTTGTCAACAGTAGCTCCGTCCACTTGCGCAGCTCCAAGGCTTTTTTCAATTCCGACGCCGTCGCAGAAACTATGGGCATCCCCGATTCGAATACCTCAATCGCATCGCCCAGCGACCTAGACCTCTCTAGGGCCACGCCTTTTATGTATATTGCCTTCAAAGCGCAGGTGCGCGTCCATCCCGATGCTTGTTTTGAAGTGCCGTCGAGCAGCGAGAAATCCCCTTCAATGTTTTTCGGCAGTCGCAAGGCGGCAAGCTCTGGTTCGCCGAGCGCCCAATGCACCCATCCAAGAGCGACCCGAGCCTGGAAGACATCTTCGGGGTGGTTGTGCTCCGCATCGATGGCTCCGATAAGGGGAGGTACATATTGGACGAGACTTGAGATCTCTGGGTTCGTGCCTGTCGAGGGTTGGTGCTTTATGGCTTGTTGAACGGCATGTGTAGCATTCGCGGCGAGTGTAAGACCTATCTAGAGCAATCAGTAAACGAAGTTCAAAACGTGGACGTCGCAATGAACGGGCGCAAGGGGGGCTACTTGGGGCCTTCACGTACATGCTCGGGCAGGGGCGTGTTTGCTGAACTTGCGAACCAAATTCGGAACTGCCTCCCAATCACCATCACATTGTGCCTGATCGAGCTGCTGGATATACTTCACAGCCTTCGACTGATCTGGGCCCTGGGGTTTCAATCAGTATAGTCTTCGTTTGCTGGCCCCGCTCGATATTGACCTTCGGAATTGAATCTTACCCCCATTTTGGACGGATTACTGAAGCAATGGAGTTCCAGACAGATCCTCGGCCAGAAACATTAACACAAAACAACACAACAGTTAAACATTCATTCTGGTCGACACCCAATGGAATCTACGTCAATGGCCAAGTTAACGTACGGTCCATCTCGGGACCTGTTTCGCGACGATCTGAATTCAAGCCCAGGTAAGTAAGCATGCGGCCAATCAGAGAGAGCTGGCCCAGAAATTAATTTATTCTGAATTATGTACCGAGGCTGGATCCCGTGCAATTGAAACTGCAGCGAAAAGCGAAAACTAGGAATCTAGGTCTGTTTTTGGAGACAGAGAAGAGTCATTACAGGTGAATAAATAGACACGGCCGTGCTTGTTATATACTACGAACGATACAGCCAACTCCGAGAAGCAGAGAAGCAGAGAAGCATCAGATGTCTATCCCACCCGAGTTACGGGTGCTGAACCACCAGCTCTCCACTGTTCCGGCCGCCCAGTTGCCTCAGATAACACCTCTTCTCCTGCGGAATGTACTGAGGTGCCAGGGACCTTTATCGTCGCCGTCTACGAATGCTGCCAAGGATGATTCGTCTGAGGCATCTGCTGTCCACACGCTCAAAAGTCACGTGTCCAGATTATTATTTGGCAAAAGCGCAGAAGGAAGATTCGCAGCGATAATACTGGCCAAAGGTATCATTGACGTCGGCGGATGGGAAGTTCTACGAGGGGCTTTGAAATGGGTGCAAGGGCTGTTGGCGATATTGACAGTAAGCAAATCTACGACGTTTTTGATCCAGACGACTGACATTTTTGTAGAAGCCAGATCCTGCCGCATCAAAGAGACTATGCATCATTACATTGACAAGTATATTTGTCAAGACGCATCAGTATCAGAGCATCGTCAGAGAGATCACTACGCCACATCTGTCACCTTTTGTGACGTCTTGCCTTGCCTCCGTCTCCTCAAAGTCCACCGGCAAGGTATTGGAGGTTCCGGCATCTCTTACAGAGTCTGTGTTGGACGCCTTTTCTACGCTGATGCCTAGACATCCTGCAATCTTCCGACCTTTTGCCAACCAGATTAGGCAAGTGACGAGAGTGTATGTGGCACCTACCTTCTGTGATGCATTCTTCGTGCCCGAATCTCTGAAAGAGTCCGCCCGCTCTCTCGCCGTATTATTGCATCAGACAGCGCCAAAAAACACCAGCGGAGAAGAATGGGGCAAAAACGTCCGAGAGCTTGTCAAGGAAATTCATGCCACGACAGATCAAGTTTATCGTGCTGTTGTAGAGGATTGGGAGTCTGCTGCTGGGTACGTTCCACAGCCGATTGATGTCAACGAGGAGCTTCATGGCGGTGGGAAATCAAAGGATGACTATCCAGCCTGGACTGGGATCGACTCTGGGTTGGAAAGGCTTCAAGGCTTACTTGGTTACCTGGAAGAGCACTTCAGACACCACACGGCGACCGCTGTTACTGTGCCTCTCGGTATTATCGACGACCTCCTCACTAGGCTGATGTCCATTGCCGCTCCCCAGCCATCGAACAATGGATCAGGCCAGGGTTCCATGCGACTCCACCCGGCAATCTCTCGTGAAGAGCGAGAAGGTTTATGGTCCGGTCTACCGCAAACCTACGTCGGAGTCATGGAAGTGTATGGAATCCTCATTGAGCGTCTCCAGCACAATTTTACGTCTCTAGCGCAAGGTTGCCTTGAGCAGATTACGTGGACCTTCCGATCAGGAAAACAGGATGAGCAATACCGCTCAAAAGCCTACGACGTCATTGCAACCATTTTACCACTATGTGCATCGGGCCTTCCAAAACCTTCCATTCATAGAATGACGTCGGTGATAGTTTCCTGCTGCAAAGAGTTACGTACTGTCGACGAGGTGGTTCCCGCTATAGCGCTGAAAGACAGTAGCGGAAAGGCTATTTCCAATGGCGTCGCCAATGCGGACAGTTTTCTCAAAAACAAGTCAATTCTGTCATCTACTGACGTGCACGATACGGCAGTTGTTAGAAGCGCCAAAGCGCTCCTGCCACTATTCTTCACACTTATTCCTCAGCAACACCTTGAGGCATATACACGAGCTGAGCTAGATAGGACAGCCATTCTATCACACCACAAAGAAGCAATGCTGGCTAGCGTTCTGAGCCCATTCTTGGGGCGGAATGAAAAGAGTTTACCTAGCATTCTTCCGCACCTTTGCCGGGCATATCCGCGAGATGCCGCTGTGGAGGCGCTACTGAGGCCGCGACTGCCTGTTATCCGCCAATCTGGGCCTGTAATGGGTGCGCCGCTCGAAGAGCAGCTTGTCGAGGACGACGATGTAGCGATGGGTGATCTGCAGCCAGTGGACGAACAAGAAGAGCTCTCCGAGAATATCGTTAATGCCACTACGACATCGATATCAACAAGCAACGATGCTACTTCTACTGATGCTGCGATCGCGTCAACCAATACGAGGGAACCAGAGACTAACCATTGGGGGAATATCGCACCGGATAAGGTTTACGCTAGGAAGGACCCACAAAATAAGGATGTGGCGGCCCCTGCCGCTAGCATTAGCGAGGGTACGTCAAGGGTCGAAACAACGTCACGTACAACAGTACAGTCCACGACTACAACTGTGGATGTTGTCGAGGAAGAGGACTCTGATGACGAGTCTGTGCATTTGGAGGCTGGTCTGTCTGATTCTGAGGAGGAGGAGGAGTAAAATATGGGCTTCATGGTGTGATAATGGTATATTACTTGTTACATCTCGCTGAGATACAATGTTGTACTTTTGACATAATTATTACCGGAACGCTCCTTCCTTACCTGTGACTTAGAGTGATGACTAGTTTGCCTAGTCAACTGTACGTTTGTACCTTCCTTTGCTATTATCTACTAGAGCCAATTTGCCTAATCAACCGTACGTTCGTACCTTCCGTTGCTATTATCCGACTATATTCGCTCCATCGTAATTGCCTTCTCACGTCAATCTTGACACTTTTACCTTCCGCCGTCGATATGTTGCCTTTCTTCCATTACTTTCCGCCATAGCTATTGTAGTTATGGTTCTCATAATGAACCTTGGCCATATGTGAAAGCTAACATTCCATCTGTACCAAGTTACCATTACTTGGAGGTCAGCCGCCAGAAAGTGTTCAACAAGCTCTCGACAGAGATGTAGAACGCTCTTCTCAACACTAAATTCGTACCTAGCGGTACCAAAAGTTCCAGATGCTTCCTGTCTCCCGCAATTGTTAAGATTTTAGCGTCAACCTGGAGCGATTGGCCATCAACTCTAGGTCGGCAGCTGGGAATTGAGCCCATAAGGTTTCCAACAGTGACCTAACAAGAACGCCCATCAACACTAAAACAATCGTCCAGAAGCTTCATATACCTGCCAATTGTGAACGATCATGCGTTCTCTTGATGCAAATAACGCCAATCCGAGGCCAGCCGCCAGAACTAGCGTTCAAGAAGCTTCTGATAAATAGTCAACTCCATGACGACGACGCTAGATGTCTGACTCCTCTGTTAGCATTGATGTCAATGGTGCTCTACTACTGCCTGGAGCCATTCAACGCAGTATCACCTGCCAGAAGTAGCGTCCAAAAAGCTTCTGGTGCCGTATTAACTCTCCTGACGACGCCGCCAAATGCCTGACTCCTCTGTTAGTGTATGCTAATGGTGCTCTCTCACCGATTGAAACCATTCCACGCTGTATCACCTGCTCCTCGCAGTAACTTTTTAGTCTGCTTCCCAAATACCTATAATAGTATGGCCCTTTTCGCCCTCCCCCCGATTTGCTCTTCCCTCCTACAACACCAGTCACACACAGCTTCCAGGGCCACCTTTGCACATCTCAAGCACAACGTTTGTTCAAAGCTAACTTACGTTTGTTCAAAAGCTCACTTGAACACCCACCTTGTCAAAGTACAAGATCTTGCCAAAGTACAAGAACCCTACATTCTGAGGAATAGATCAGCACGTCCGCTGCATCACCCAGTCATCTACGAGAGATACTGGATTTTTAAGTCTTGAATTTGTGTCTGACACAGAAAATTGTGAATAACAGTAGAAGGCCCCTGGCAGAAGTGAGTACTCCTATCACATATATATGGACTATGGACTTGGATTCTAACTCACAGGTAGAGCTGTGTGTCCACTGGTGTCGGTATCACTGATATTGGATATCCATCAAAGATACCAGAGGTCCTCAACGACAAAGTTCGGAAGGACCCTCCTGAGTGACTACTGTCAGGTTAACAGTGCCTGTCGGTTAGTATCTTTATCATTTTGACTCTGAACATGGCACTGATAAATAGCCCAGTCTCTCTTTCAGTCACTCTACCGACGTCCAACTAAGGAGTAAGTCCCCCCAGTAACTGACTTTGCGGCCCCGAGCTAACTTCAGTAGCAATGCATTCCAAGTTGAACACAGTCGCTCAGGCACAGATGGCGGAATCCAGACTCCAAGCTGCCGTGATTGAGGCCACTGAGCAAGCAACAGCCTCTCGGCCGAGCGAGACTGCGTCGGTATTCAACATCCCGCCAGCGATGCCTCTCCAAGGTGCAAAATCCTGTGTCCAAGGCCTGCCCGTCCATGAACTCTATCCCATAGAGGTTTATAATAAACAACACTCTGTTGAGCAAACTGTAGCTCCAGGGCTCGAGCAGTCTGAGTTCGGAGAAGGAAGTTCCGGCGGAGAAGAGGGACAAAACATTGAGCCACAAATGGCTTCGATCATTGGTGAGTGGCCCTACAAGGCCCGGAAGTCCGCGAAAAATCCAATTCCAGCCATGATCGAAAATGGCCAGGCTCGCGCCATTGCTGGAGAAGATACCGCTCGCCTCAAGGCAGACCAGAGAACGGCCGATGAAATCTACGGCACCGACGGCCCGGTGACCGAAGGATCACATCCACACACATTCTCGGTGCAGTTCCTGGAGCATGGCCTCGCAATGGACGCAGATTTTATGGGAGTGCGTAGCTTCCAAAATTGTCTGGAATGCTACGTTGCTGGAGAGGCGCCAGTAAAGCAGCGTTCTTCTCACAGACCTGTTGACACTCTCCAACGCATCGGGGAGAAGAACCCAATTCCTCCACCGCACTACCCAAGAGATGATAAAAAAGTTTGCGCAAGCTGGAGGTAGGTGACCCCCTCTCGTTACCCCTTGTAGAAATACCGAGTTTTCGGCATGTCGGTTGAGTTGCCGAAGACCTCCTTGTTTCTCATACAAGCGTATGAATGACTGGACAGAGACATAGACTAACAAGTTGCAGACATGAGATCAACTCAAAGTGGGTCAGCCACGACGAAAGAGTCTACAGACTCACAAAAGCCAAAGTCAGAGCATACGTCCCAGAAATGCCAACAGAAAATTGGTACACCCTCCTTGCCACAATCCACCATGATCACGGGCACCAGGGTCGGGACGCAGTCTTCGAAAAAGTCAAATCGATCACCCCGAGTATTTCCAAAGGCTTTGTGGCCGCGTACGTCTCATGCTGCTGCTTACAGAGGAAGTCATCCCCTCGTAAGGACAAGAACGTACGCGAAGCCTTTGCCGGACAGGAGCTTGCAAAGGCCGGCAAGCCCTCGAAGGGCAAGAAGAGGGCGATCGCGGAGGCTGACCCCGAGTCTCCGTCTCCAGCGGCCAGAAGGCCGAGAGCGCATTCCACCGAGCCAGCCATGGTGAACGCCGGTGATGAGCAAGATCCGTCCTTGCGAATTGACTATAGTCCGCCCCAAATGGGTGTGGAAGTAAGTACCCATCCTCCAATAACCATATGAAAAACACCGACTTACTGTAATGCAGTTCCCAATTGCCATGGCAGACCCATACCGGGATGTCGCTGGCCCGGTTGAGAACCACAGGGAGGTGATCGCGCACCAAGCCGCTCCGTATATCCCGGAAGGTCCGAACAATGCTTTGGCCTTCGACGTGGCGGGTATCGCAGCAGTGGCTCCTGTTGCTCCCGGGTCAGAATCGACCCAAAACGACTCTTGGTCTCGGCCACAGGACATGTACGGATCGGGTGCCGAAGAATGGCAAGGTGATGACAGCGATTGGCTAACGCAAACTGCCTCTGATGTGTCGGGGCTCTCAAGCTTGGGCGGGAGCTTCCACACTGATGACGCGGCGAGAGAACAAGCCTCGCAAGCTACGATAGACCCACGCTTAGTAAGTCCCCATTCCGCCAAAGAGAATTAACTGACCTAACATTTCAGTTGGCACTTCCTGCACCACAAGGAGACAATACCAGTCGCCTGCAGCCGAACGACAATGACGCTGGGCTATCGTTGGGCCTTGTGAGTTTTACCACCTTAATTCCGAAATGCCATTACTGACAGCATTTTCAGGAGGACCCATCTGTTGATACAAACGGCAGTCTCTCAGATGCGGAATTCGGCCAGTTGGTGGAGGACATGTCAGAATGGGATCTGACTGAATACCCGTTGGATCCTAGTGCATAGTCGCCGATTTTACATTTGCGGGAGTTTAGAAAGCGTCAAGCACGGAAAAAGAAAAACGGATATACCCACGAGAGGAAATGGCAACGGAGTTTTAGGAGTTTTTGAAGTTTTGTTGTCTTGTTTTTTGTCATGCCTCCCAGAGGCCGCGGGGGTTTCTGAGGGGATCATGTGCAGCGGGACGCCGTTGCATGTGACCCCTGAAGACACTCCTGCACAAGTGCGTCCCTGAGCATAAAATACAAAGGGAGCGAAAGCATAAAATGCTATCCTTTGAACGTTGTTGGAGATTTGTACCATGGGGGAGTCTCTGCGGAGAACCTGTCGAGCGATGACCTGGGGCATGAAATGCAACAGGGGTTAGAGCATAAAATGTAATAACTTAACCACTAATATTGAGGTATTATGACGTGAACTTGCTTCGTGACTGTGAATAGAAGACCCTGAGATCAAACCATGCTATCAGTTGAACTTCATCAGCAGGCTCACAGTAAGGCTCGGTGGCATGGTGCTTGACATTGTATGGACAATAAGAGTTAGTGAACCAGCTGAGTTGACAGATAACAGTGAGACTCAAATGAGAAAGGCAAAGTATTCACGGTCATAAACATGATGGAGAAGACAGTAACAAAAGCAAGCAAGCACTACATTGGCTTAATATAAAATCATTTGACAGAAGTGATGCACACTCAACGACTATAATCCTGGATGCTTTCCTGTAGTTGCCTTAGCTTCCTTTCGTAGCATTGCCCTGAATACTAAGTCCGTGTGAGGAGCTTAATACCGGTTGGGTTCTCTGCCGCCACTATCTCCTCCTAAAATTAATGCGAGTTGTAACCGACATCGCTGGCCCGCTGCCCGTGCCACGCCTCCTTACCAACTTGCCAATGGCCCCCATAAGGCCTACCCGATGTACCTCTACCCGAAAACACCAAATCAACAAAAGCTCCCTCCAACTCCCAGCTATGCACAATTCTTCATTGACACTTCTATACAGAGCCGGGCGGTTAATAATTCCCATTGCTCTTCGTAGGCGACGCATGGGCTTTGACACCCGGCGTGTTTTGAATCTCCCCGAGAACTTTGCTTCCTTTCCCAACATCTGCTCGCAGATCCTCCTCTGGATCATCAATGAGATGATCCATAAAACTGACATAATCGTACTGTGGCATGCCTCGATCCTCCTGCAAGTCTGGCCCCTTATGTGCTGGGATTATCTTGGTTAACTTCTCAATGACGTCGTCAGGCACGAGACTATGTCGCAGGTCCATCTCTGTAACATAAGGCTTTCCATCAGCAACCTCTCGGAAACTCTGGAAGACTTGCTCGGCCGTGTTTTGATCCTCCGTGACGTCCACCATGAAGTTGATAAATTGCTCAAAAGTCACGTGGTCATGGCCGCGAGATGTCTCCAGGAAGTAGTCGTGCATCTCGTCCTCGCTAAATACCAGCCCAAGAGACGCCAGCGCGGCGCTAAATTCCAGCTCCTGGAGACTGTTGGAAGCATCACGATCGAAATGGCGGAAGACGCTTTCGAACTCCTCCAGCTGTATAGGTGTGAGGTTTGTCATATTTCGTGCCACCACTTGGTTGTCTAAGAAGGCCAGCTTCTTAGACACCGAACCCTTTACGAGGCCAAGTTCGTAGGAAAGCTCATCATATGTGTATGTCGTGAAGTCGTTCTCTTCGATGTTTGCTTCTTCACATTTCTGGTCGAGCTCGGCGATCGTCTCGAGATACGAGTCGAGGGGTGCCACGCTTTCATTTAGACGTTTGACATGCCTTAACTGATCTTCAACGTCGCCTTCCAGCCCCGAAACGGCAAGCTGCATAGCATTCAAAGCAAGTGCAAAGTCATTAGCCTTGTCCGCAAAAGTTCTCCTCAAGGCATTTTTGATGCTGGATGGAATGTTAGACCTGTAGAATCTTGAAGGTTGAAAGGTTTAGTCTTACTCTCTGATCGTTTCATTGATGAGCTGTCCCCTTGCCATCTCGGCCCTCATCAACACTGCCCATTCTTTCTCCAGCGTATCCAACCGGAGCTCCTGCGGTGGGTCGTAGGGCCGAAGGCGGTAGGTGCTCATCTTTGTCTTGATATTACCCAGCAACGCTGCCAGTTCGCTCTTCTCGGCCACCCACTCCCTCTTCTGTCCCCTTTTATACACACCAAACTCCGAAGATTGACTCTTTGCGTCGACATATGTGCCTTCAAAGTCAGCATCCTGCCAACTTTGACCTTGCTCTTTGATGGCCTTCAAGAGGGCTCGCATTCTCCGCTCAAATGCACTCTGCATCTCCCAGGCGCCTTGCATGCTGCTGACAAATTTCTCAACTCGCCGGCCTGCATTTTCAACCTTCTCCATTTGTGAGAAAGCATGAAACCAGTATGCGATGTACGTCATCAACGATCTTTCATCCGGTTTAGCGACGTCGCAGACGTCCTCTACGTCGAGAAGATCTGGTATACCGATCTCTTTGCTCGCGATATCAAAAGCTAGTTGCATATTCCCACGATGATCTTTCTTGTCCAGTGCGTCGTAGTCGATCAGATCTGGGCGATGGATATCCAGCAACGCACAGAATGCCAGCCCATCATTCCAGCTTGCACTGAAGTCCCTGACTTCCACTTCATCGTAACAGGCCGTTTTCCTTTGGCACCAGAGTAGCAAGCCTTCCTTCGCAGTCATACCCTCCTGGTTGATATCGGAGATTGTGAACCGTAGAATAAGAGTCCATATAAGCCCCAGTATAATTTTCCGGTTTCCATCAACCACATCTTCGGCGCCTATGTTGGTCATCTGAATTCCTTTCGATTTTATAAAGTCGAGCGAGAGGTTGGCATTTTCGAACCGTTGCACTCGTAGCTTTGGCTTCGCCGCATATCGGCCCAGGGACTCGCTGGAGAGACATTCGAGAAGATGGATAAGTATAACCTATGGTAGGTCTTAGCACACTGTAGTTGGATATTGACAGTTCGCAGCTTACACCGTCGCTTAGATCTTTCACCAAGTCCTTTACTTCGACCTCCCTAGCTGATATCTTGGCGTTCAGCCTGTATGAGGTACCAGTTAGCTAACCATACATCCAAGAAATCGCTCACTGCGCCCCGAGCCAGGGGTTGTATGTCAACGCACCATTTCGTGAATGTCTTCTGCTGCACGTTGATCCACTTATGCTGCTCTGCTGCGTACGCCATGACTGATCGGCTCCTGAAGGGCCCCCCTTATCATGAACTGCTCGATATTCCGCCTGTTTTCCTGCAATATTCGATCCGGCCTTTCGCTGCCTCGGTATCAAGCTTCCTTCCCCACGTATGGCTTGGCTGATATAGATTCGCTGGCGGCTGGTAACCTTTGTAAGAGCTTATTCGCGGGACTCGAGTTTGGTAGTAACGCACGACAGATACCGGCTTAGCAGTGAACAATAGTGAGCCTTATAGAATGTAACCTGAGTTTCGTAGTTATGTGGTTTTCTACATTCGTCGGCGTTGTTCGCAGTGTTTACTTTTGCGGTAGAAGTCGCCAGAGCAACGATACCTAATTGGCAGCCTCGCGATCCACATTTTCTAGCTGGACTCGCCATCATCGCATCGTTCCTAGCCAAACACATGAACGACCCTCCAGCACAGAGAAGCTGCCGAGTTCTTTACCACAATTTGGGACACAAAAGCCATACAAGGCCGATCACAACAGACGGTATTATGTTCACAGAAATGTCTTCATATAACACACTATTTTGAATCTGAATTGGATTTCTTTGTCCAAGATAAAACTAACTGCGTGCAACCGTCTACATTTCAACAATTTCATTCCTTTCAAAAGAGCCTGTGGGATATCCCCAATATGCGGTATTAAATCCAAAAGATAACAAATAATATCCAATTCAAACAGCCGTCTCAGGCGTTGGGCTGCTCGGATATGTAAAAGTATACCTACTCCGACCGCCGTCGTCCATTACGACGCAGGCCATCAGCAACTTGGATATAAACTAACACGCCATGCAGTAAATAGGCCCCGGTGTTGTCGATGGCATCTAACATTTCACGGTGGCCGGCTGGGCGTCACGGTACCAGTTTCGACGAGGATCGCCAAGGCAGGTCCCAACAGTCACCGAGGTGCCATATCCAGCTTCGCCCATTGCCTTGAGGATGTACTCTGTGAGAGAGTATACCGAATGGTAATGGATATCATGCTGGAGGATGAGGAAGCTGCTTTGACTCGGGGCGGCAATGGCGGCGTCCACGTTATGCATCGAGTTGTGGATCAACTCGGCGTCATTGTTCCAATAGTCAACGGTGTCGACGTCGAAATAGATGTTGTGGTAGCCCATCTCGTCGAGCTTCCTAGCGCAATTGTAGTCGCAGGAAATGTATGGTGGTCTCATGTAGGTTGGGATGATGCCAAGGATATTGCGGATGGCCATTTCGTTCCGGTACATTTGTCTGTCGAATTCATCTTCATTTACCCCGCTGAGGTCAGGATGCCCCCAGGTGTGACTGGCAATTTGATGACCTGAGTTATACATCCTCTGTGAGTAAGTTAGCATGAGTTACATTTTTTTTAGTCGGCGCTGGGGCATACCTTGATGATAGCTGGATAACCGGTCGAGCAGTCGTCGATTTCATGTACGCCATTATTATTACCAGCTATGGGAAGTCAGTGGGATATGACTACCATGATAGGGGCATTTTACTTACTGATGAAGAATGTCGCCTTGGCGCCGTACTCGTCTAAGAGATCCAGCAAGTCATCGGTATACGCAGATGGGCCATCATCAAATGTTAAAGCGACAACACCCATCTCGGTACAGTGCCGAATCTCTCCACTTCCTGCATATGGAACAGACCCGACCTTGCGTCTGGGAATTATCGAGGTCGTAGGACCCATTGACCGTTTGTGTATATTGGCGCTGGTATGCGGGGGATAGAGGGTGCCTGAGTTCTGGAACTTGGTGCTGTTACGGTCTCCGCAGTACGGCTCTTGGATGCCACAATAACTGCTCCATGTTAGCGTGATTAAAACGACGAGGAGAGGGATACCAACCCATAATCAGAGCAGCAAGAACCAATCTCGCAGCCACCAAACCCAGATCCACAACGTCCATAATCAAAGCCAACTGTGGCCATGTGCACGTTTACTCGGTTTCTTTGAGAAGTATATGTTCCATTGCTGACCGTGCTTCCGTTGGATGCGTCCCATGTATTGTTATATTCTGTTCCTGGGGTCGAGTCTATGGTCTCGTTGGATTCGAAGTGGTCGAAATTGTGAGGAAGGGCAACTGCGGCAATAGCCGCAAGCAAAACCGTGGCAGGATGCATTTTCACAGGAGATCGTATTGCTGTTTTATTGGGCTTTTACGGGCGAATGTGGATTTAATAAATAGTAATAGCAGAAGTTATATGACCTTTCATTCATATGAGAACTTCTGGGATGTGATAGACGCTTTCTCGATGAGTTACTTGGCACGACTACCGCTGTCGCGCTGGTTGGTGATGAAGCCGTGTACGGTGAAGAACAGGAAGAAGAGAGGAAAGAGGACAGGGAATGGGAATGGGAATTGGAATGGGCGGACTATCGAGGGCATTACGTGAGACATCATAGCTAGTTAGTTTGGAAATGTAAATTGTCTTCAAAATCATACGAATGCTTTACTCAGACTTGGAAGCGTAACTAGCTTTCCATACAAAATATGAGAAGAGCAGAGCATGTTTCGAGTCCCTAACAGTCATTGATTCTCACTTGGGATGCTTATTTACAGGCTAGTGATTTTAGCATGAAATAGCGCCATTTCCCCTTGCTATAACTGCACTAACCTGGATTAAACCCTCGTCTCCTCGTTTACTCCGTCATTTCCATTAGGACTCCTGAATTAGCACAGACACCTGAGATGTAACAGCCCGGACGCATGCTCGCCAGTTCGTCACCTATCATGATATTAACAAAACTCAAGTTATTTAATGGAATGTAGGATGATATATAACTTTATGGCCTGTGTATGTGTTATTACAACGTATGTAGTCGCTATGCCATCGAAAACACGTGATAAACTAACTTCTCATGAGTAATTTTGAGTCACAAACTATACTAAGATTAGTTAGTTAGTGCAAAGATTATAAAGATATACTTCCTGATAATATCGAATGGACTCAAGATTCCATTTCTATTCTATATATTATTTTCTTTGACATAGATATGGACACACCGGAAGCAGTTGCTGGCGCCGTAGTCTTCCACCGCTGGCCCCAAGACCTGGCCCAAACCGTCCTCATATCAGTCCTTCAAGACCACCTCCCCCACAGCAACCCACTCTACAACCGCATCCTCGCTCCCCAAAACACCCTATCCCGACACTGCCTCTTCGCCGCCACCTTCCTCCCTTCCACCTCTCCGAACCCCTCCTCCACCCCGACTATCCTCTTCGCCGACCGCTCCCGCCACACCGAAGCCCAAATCTGGCTCTTCAACCCCCTCACGGCCCTCCCCTCTCTATCAGCTCCTCAGTCTCAAACCCTCAATGCCCACGCCAAAGCCGCAATCGCCTTCCTTCGCGACACCCCGGTCCCCGCCGCGCCAGGCTGGCCTTTCCTACCCCTCCTAAAATTCGGATGCATTCCCGCCCACCTCGCCGACGCCATCACATCCGTTGCGCGCCCGTTCGATGCCGTGAAGCATGACACGAATTGGACGCACTTCAACATCCCATTGGCAGTCCCCCACACCTCGCCGCTGCCGGGGGGATTCAAGATCGCCGCCGTCCCCAGGAAGCAGCTTGGGCTCGTCATAGCAACGAGCGGGATCCCGAGGGAGGCAGAGACGCTGCAGGGGTTGCCTGGGGTGGCTATTTTGGATGAGGGCGGGGAGATGGTTGCTTGGGCGTTTGTGGATGTTGATGGCTCGTTGGCGACGCTGTTTGTGGTGGCGCAGCAGAGGGGGAAGGGGCTTGCGAAGGCGGTGGCGGGGGGTCTTTTGGGGAAGTTGGGTAGAGGGGAGTTTAGGGGGATTAGTGGGGGAGGGAATGGTGCTGTAAGTGGCGATGATGGGTTGCTGCCTTTTGGGCAGGGGAGTGGGTGGGTGCATTCTGAAGTTAAGGAGGGGAATAGTAGGAGCGAGAAGGTGGTTGAAGGGTTGGGCGGGAAAAGGTGTGGAATGAGTAGGTATGTGTTTATTGCTTCCGACTTGATTCCCTAGATTAGGTATTCTCTGTGAATAGGTGGTGTATGTATATACTTTCTAGATATATAGCAGTAGAACTAGACGCTTCAAAATAGAACCATGGTCGTAGATACTATACACAGATCCGAAGCTCATAATCCCTAAATGATATGTAAATAAGTATCAGGTTCCCGCAAGCCGATAATAACAATATTCTAAATAATCAGCTATGCTAAAACGTCGCTCGTCACACATACCTTCGTAACTACAATCCATCCTATCCCACCCACCCCACCTCTCACGAAGCACTGTCCAAGACCCTCACATACGGCGCCGGAAACAGGCCCTTCGCACCCATAAACGACCCGTGGAACCAATCCCCATTCACATCCACAACCTCCCGCACCTCCGCCCCCCTCGGGAACAGCAACTCATTCGCCCCCTCCCCCTCCTTCGGGTACCAGCTCCACAGCGCCACGGCCCGCATACCTACCCCACCATCGGGAGGGAACTCCGTCGTCATTGCCGGGTTACCAGTCGGTGCCGTAGAAGAAACATCATTCGTCACAAGCCGCGCCCTCGTGCCCCCCGCCCAGCTCCACTGTTGAAGCCCTGCATCCGCAGCACCCTGCGTCTTTGCCGGCTCCTCAAAGAGCCCACATCCTCCGACGCGGTCCTGCACGACAACGCGCCGCTGACCCCCCCCCGCATCTTCAAATCCCACAATAATCATACGGTGGCCTTGGAGACAGCGTCGCCAGCCTAAATGACCATTCTCGTTGCTAGTCCGCTTCTTGTTCACCATAGAGTGGTAGCACGTCGTGCAGATATCATAATCCCCGGCTTCGCGCCCCGGCAGTGCTGACGTGCACTGGAAGCAGTGGAAGCGCGTCTGAGTAGGCTGGATGGGATAGTGACACGCATCGCACTCGACCCTGAAGCTTAGCGGCTTGAAGCTGCCCAGCTCCACGACACCCGGTCCTGTCAATAGCGTCGCTGTCCTTGGAGTCTGGTGATCATGGCTGGGGCTCATCGGCTCCGCATCGCGATTATCGGGCTTGTAGAGAAGTGGCAGCAGAGCGTGTGTACAGCACCGTCCCTGGTTCACACAGTTGTTGCAAAATCCCCAGTCTCCCTCATTACAGGAGTCGCAGCGCCAATAACACTCATTTGCCCACTCCTGGCAACTCGCACAGAACGCCCCGCTCTGTAGCCTCCTCGCCGGGTCCTCTGTCGTCAGCGTCCTCCTGCCCTCTGCACCACCAGGCGTGATTCTCGGCGGTAGATAGCGCTCGGCGAACAGCATATGCGGCTTCTCGGCATTGGGTGGGATGTGACCGGCAGTACGGGCTTTCTCCCATTTCGCCCACGCGGCGTACCCGAAACCGAACCACTGCTCGCAGCCGCGACCGGACCGGTAACAGCCAAGACACAGGTTCCACTCGCCTCTGGCGCAGATTGGACAGGAGTAATGGAGCTCGTATTCGATGTGTGATTTGTGGCAGCGGTTGCATTGGATTGAGGGCTCTGGGAAGCGGGGGAGGGATACGCGCTGGGAGGCTGTTGACTCGGAAGACGTGGGGCGGCTGACGGCTTGGAGGGCGGTGGCTCGTTCGGTGGCTGTGCAATGATGGGAGAGTGTCGCGGCTGGGATAAGGCCAGGCTGTGAATCCTGTTGGGTGGTTGCTACAGGTACGGGTGGTGGGGGGTAAGCTGAAGTTTGCGATGCTGTGCGCGCGTGAGATGGTAGAAGCTCAACTGGCGACGCAGCGGTTTCAGCTTCCCCTGCAACCTGGCTTCTCGGAGAGAGAGTCGGTGGTCGCCGTCGACCTGCCGCAAGCTCAACAACGTCAGCAACTGTCGACGATGTTGGCACCGGCTCAGTTGTGCTTCTTGTGTCGACGGACATGAGAGGACGTGTAATGTGTGATGAAGTAGACCGCTCTGTAAGATCGGTGGCAGATCGAGCTGCAGGTCGTCTTACTGGGGATGATGATGGAGCGGGTGATGTGGCACTTCTTGTGCTCCTATTTCCCCCACTAGCCGTCCGCCGTCGTCTCCGTCCTTCATCACTTGATTGTGGTTCGAGGCGAGTTGCACTAGTACGGGGACTTGCTCTCGTAGCCTCATCAGCTTGGCTAGCAGCACTCAGTGATCTAGAGTGTGGAAGTCGTCGCGCTGTCGCCATAGGAGGTGCTGTAGTTGTGCTCTGGCGAGTCCTGCTCGATGTAGCTGATCGATGTTCATTGCGATCGCTCGGGCTTCTATTTCTTGGCTCTGAGGCAACGACTTGTTCAGCCCTTTCTCTCTGGCGTCGTCTAAATGCTTCCGCAATTCGCTCACTGATCTGGTCTTCCTGGTTGACATCGATGTTCTCGAGATCAATGCCGTCTAACAAGCCTTCTTCGCGAATCTGGCGTAGGATCTCTCCCTCCATCTCGCGCGAATCCACATCCGAGGAGCTTATCAAGGAGCGCAGGGACGACTGGTGCTCAATTTGCCTCACAGCAGTTCGATTTGCGTCGTCGTTCCTCCTTCGCGAGTCATCCTGACTTCTGCGAGCTGCTTCTTCGCTCCTTCGGCGTCTCCTCTCTAAAGCTCGAGTAGACTCGGGATGCAATGTAGTTGGTGATGAAGCAGATGCCGCTGCCCTCTCCTCGCGCCTCTCCTCGCGCCTCTCCTCGCGCCTACGCCTGCTCTCACTCCCGCTGTCCTCCTCGGCTCTCCTTCGCTCTCTGTCCGGCCCTGACCCCGCGCGGTCACTGTTTGCCTCTCTGCTAGCAGTCCGGCTAGATGTGCGCCCTGTGGCCCTCGCCCTTTCTTCTCTTCTCCTCCTCCTCTCCCTCCTTTCTTCTGGCAGCTCGACCCCAACCTCCCTCAAACTAGCCATTTGAACCTGCTGTATCAGCCTCCCATCGTCATCCTCCGCCATTCGTTCCCTCAGCGTCTTCTCCCGCTCCTCTGTTTTCGGAATAACATCGTCGCCCGGGCTGTATTTCTTCTTTACATCCTCCTTCTCCTCTGCCGTCCTGCCTTTGTCCGGGTTCGCGGCGAGGAACATGTCGAGGAGCGTCGTGACTGTCGCATTGTTCTTCGTTGCGCGCACAACGGCACGACATGACGGGCAAGTGACGGGGTTGCTGCTGCGCGCGGAAGAGGCGCCGGAGGCACGCGCCGAGTTGAGCTGGAAGGCGAACCATTCCTTAAGGCACGCGCCGCAGAAGGTATGGAGGCAATCGAGGAGGGTGAGGGGTTGGTAGAGGACCTCGGTGCAGATCTACAGGGCGAGCTGTTAGCTAGTGATCAAGATAAACGCGCTGCAAGGCGTCGCCATAGGAGCCAAATGCGAGTAAGCATTGCTCCCAAGCTGTCGTCAGCGTCGTCACGACTGCGGCTTAGCTGTCGAGGCTGAGGTCCGCTTGTGGCCGCTGTGACGTTCGCCTGGCATGAAACAAACGGGTTGTGGCTTCCTCACCGAACATGTCAGCTCCCTCTCCAAGTCCAGTCCTTGGTTTGCGGCCTCCATAGTTATGGTGTCTGTGCTCGCTCGATGTACTCGTAGCGGCTTCAACTTTGTGAAGGTAGGAGCTGATACGAGATGCTCGAAGAGCTCATGGCCATAAGCCGCCACTGGTCTGCGCGTATACGAATTGTTGTGCCTTGCCTGGCGGTTAGTACCATATGCGTATGGAGAACAAAGGAACAGCAACATCATAAATAGTAACTACGAGCAACAGGATCAGGGCATCTGCGAATATCTTCACAATATATTATATCTCCCCAATAAATATTTACACCTATTGCATTACGCACTATAGCCATCCACCAATAATTCCAACACGCACCAGGCGCACATCACCTCGCCTTCTTACTCTCCTCCCTCTTCAGCTTCTGCTCGCTCGCGACAATGACCTCTGTGCGGACATCAAAGGCATTGCAGATATCCTTGTACGAAACGTAAATTGCATACATCGGGATCCAGACCCACAGCGTGTTGAAGAAGAACAGGTACACCCATCTATCACATGTTAGCTTCAGAACCCAGCCTCAACTGCCAGGAACAGGGAAAACTCACGTAAAGACCCAATTGCTCGTATCCAAGCTGGGGCTTCCAGTCAACCACTCCGGCGCAAACGTCATGAACCCGCCATACAACTCCGCGACCGCAAGCGCAATCATCCAGATACTTGCTCTCGCATCCCCGCGCGCGATCAAAATCGCAACGTACGCAGCCACTGGTCCGGCCAGGAGCACCGTCAGAAGCTCGATGCTCACGACCGTCGCGTCGGCGCCTCCCCATCGCGAATCAGCCTGCGCGTACACCCTCCACAGCGCCGCGAGGTGGTTCTCTGGGCCGCCGAAGTTCGAGCCATAGAGACGGTCCGTGTAGCCCAGCCAGTTCGGCGCAGCCGTGGCGAACGACGGCAGGGAGACGTACGTGAAGAGCGCGTTGTAAAGGAAGGAGCCTTCGAAGATGAAGTGGATCAGGGCATCGAAGGCGTGCCAGATGAAGAGGAATCGCAGCGCGCAGGAGGTGCCGCGGCGCAGTGTGGCGAGGGAGAGGACGTAGGCGGAGACGATGAGGGCGAGGACGAGTGAGAATGAGAGCACTGTTGTGCGGTCTGCGAGAAGCTCCGCGACGGAGGTGGGCGGTTGAGAACTCATTGTTGGCGATGCCTTGTGTGTATGATCCAAGAAAGCTTGATGGTAGATATCTACTATAGCCGGTGAGGCGATGCTGGTTGTTGTGAGTGCTTTTGGGAAGAAAGTACTGTACCCAAGTAAATTAGGGGTCTTTGAAATACCCCAGACCGATGGGAAGAACACCAGTCCCGATGCACGTGCGCGGTCCGCAGCACAGCTCATGTCTCACCTAATGAATTGAATTTCAACGACTTCATTTCTATCTATGAATATCTACTGCTAGTGCCCTAAGCAATACGGCAACGCCTAAAAAACTTCTCATAACCATAGAGTTTTAACTCCATGTCAACTCCATGTCAACTCCGTAATTGATCCCACTCTACGAAATGCATGACTGATAGACCCATAATCATCTACTAAAAAGCGCCCCAAAACCATGCCTCACATATCTGGTCCTCCGTGCTCAGGTCGCGCATCACGACCCATACGTCTATTCCAAGCCGCATTGCGTGCACCGAGACGTCTTTCAGCTTCTTCGACCTCGGCTGCCGCGCGACGTGCAGCGGCACGGGCAAAGCGCCCGCCTAAGCGGCCAGGGGCTACCTGAGGATTTGGTTGTCCTTGTCTTGCACGAAGAGCAGGCGCACGAGCAGGAGCAGGGCCCGGGGGAACTAGGGCAAGACGGAGGACGAGTGGTCCATCGTTTTGTGCCGGTGGCGGGTCTCCAGGATCACCTCCATGTGCCCCGTCGGCGATTGGGTCTTGTTCAGGCTCAGCTATAAGAGGTTGGGGTTCAAGGCGCATGCCCTCAATCATATGTAATTGGCCATCGATATGGCCGGGGCCGTCATCTTCAGAGCCATCGTCTGAAAACTCATCCTCATCGGGACGGTGGTCCCCGCCCGCATAGTTGTATCCGACATCATTTCCATCACCACCTTCGAGCTCCCACAGCCGTTGATAACACCCTGTTGTCTCGGTGTTGTAGTGCTGGTATGGGTTGCCCACATCCAACCAGCTAGAGCACAGGTAACAGAAGTGAGTACCACACCGCTGGCATATCATGTGGTTGCATCCGTGGGTTTTCTGTGCAGGCACTGCACATGTAGGGCAGGGTGTAGTGTGGTACTTGATGTATTCCAGAGAAGCTTTGTCCTCAGCGCTGAGCTCGTTCGTATTCCGTGGCGGCCCACACAGCACATACTCCCCGTGCCAAGTCTGGAGGCACCGACTGCAAAAAGCAAACAGACAATCTTCACAAACACGGAGAAGGTTGGCGCGGTTTGGAGGCTTGGTTGGGTCAATGGTTGCCAGCTCATCATCAGATTCTTCGTCCGCCTCTTCGTCGGCAGTAGCTGTTACAAAGGTTGGCGTTATTATTGGCTTTGTGTGCTTTTTCGATCGTGCGGCTCCCTGGCAGAAACTTCTTGGGCAGTATACCGTGCTCTTGTCATTCTCAAGTTCGATCTTGTGTCTCATGGTGACATACCGTTTAACCATGTCGTGTTCCAATGGGATCAGAAGAAGCTCACTCGGTAGCAACGTAACATTCGGCTTTCGTTTTCGCCCTGATTTAGCCAACTCCTCTTCGCGCCTTTTGGCACATCCCGGGTCAAGGCACTTGACCGAGTCGAGATCGCCTTCGGTAATGGCATTGTTATAGAAGTCCTGCAGGCACTGGCGGCAAAAGACGTGCCCACAGTCATTCAACTTGTGACAAGTAGTTCCTCGTTTCGGTTCTATTTGCCGTCAGTAACAGGTTACATTCCATCAATATCGTCAAGTCACTTACCCAGGCAGATCCCGCAGTTGTAGCTTTGTCTATCAAATTCCGCTTGCTTTGCGGATTTATCCTGATCAAGAAGTTCGATCTCAAGGTCAGGAGATAGTTGTAGATGTTCTTCCCCGTCGAGGAGTCCAAAAGCCCCAAGAGCAGAGTCTTGGATGTGATCTATGAACAGGTATAGCACCTGGTCATGCCCCATATCCTCCCAGAACTCCTTGCACTGCCCTAACAGCTCCTGTATTTTCCCGCGAGGGAGCCAGTTTGGTGTCGCAGACAACTCTAAGACTGGAGGGTTTTCAGCAGGGTAGCCGTCGGGTAGGGTAATTCCAATGTGAATGTTGGGCAGGTAGCTCAGTCGATGGATCTGGGGCTGTCTGTCGGCTTCGATGGGCGATTTATCGGACACATCTTTAAATACAATAGGAACCGGCTCTGAAGGCGCAACGGGTAGCTCTAAAGTGGCCGTAAATTGTTTCTTCTCGTCTATAATAAGCTCGGGAAAGATTGCTTGGAGAGCAGAAAGCTCCATAGTTCGCTCGTCATCTTCGCTGGCGCTGGCCATCGTACCAGTTTCCCCCGAGTCATCCGCCATTGTGAGATCGTCTGTATAGACTGTCGAGAGACGACATTAGGGCGGAACTGCAACCATGCAGGGCTTTAGTAGAGACAAATAGATAAAAGATGGAGGAAATGAAAGGGAGTTTGGATTCAGAAGCAACAAAGGCCAGTTCAAAGATCCAGAGGTGGCGGAACTTTTTGACGTTGAAACTATCGCGATTAGATATCCGCTATCGTTATCCGCCCTCGTCTCCTCCCCTCCCTCCTCTGGAGAACGATGTCTCATACAAGCCGAAATATTTAAAAGGCAGAGAACGATAACATAGTGAAGAATGACGAAGTGAAACGATTTTTAGTCTTTTGATGTCTTTCATCAGGCCGGGAAGTGTTATTCTCGCCTTCTCAGGGTAAGATTGTGTGAGGGACCTCCTAGTCCAGACATTCCAGACATTCCAGACATTCCAGACATTCCAGACATGCCCGGTCTCTCGATCCTCAAAGGTGACGCTCAATACTCCGCTCAGACATGTTATGCGCGCAGCAATACCTAGGCATCTTTCATTCAGCTTCCATTATTCCCTGTCGACACCGGAAGAGCTGTAGCTCTTCCGGCCTCCCCGCGCATACATGCATCTCTTTTGTCAAGGAATGAAGTTGCTGCTTGTCAGTGCAGGATCTGACAGGCGAGACAACGACAACCGCCGGTATTTCCGTCGCCTCGCCTTGGCTCTATTCGTCCCACATCTAGAACAAGGTTTGTGTTATTCTTCCCAAGGGAACATATTTGAATTTGACTTTACCCCCTGATTCTAGCATGTGCTTCGAACATAACGGCGCAGTTCACCTACTCGCAAATGCAGGGAAAGAAAGGCTCGACGGGTGTAACGGACGGATGGGTGTCTGTTCTGCCACGCTACTGCATGTGGGCGTAGTCGAGGCCGCTGGATCGGCCTAAACAGGGGTATTTCGAACTGATAGTGCGTCCTAAGCCCTGCTAGAGTAATACCTGGGATAGGCACTTATCCCAAAGTATAGGTATGGGAATACTTTGGTTACTGGGACAGGCCCTATTAGAGAGAGTGCTATGTATGGCACAGGAATATGCACCAACCGTGGCTTCAAAGATTGATTTGTGTTTGTATATTTTTTTATGAGCGAAACTCCCCTCTGTTGATGGCAAAGTCCGAGATTGCGAAGAGCCATGACGAAATATACAACGCCGGGAAATTTGAAAGTCGAGAAATATTCGATTCGCGCTGTAGATCAGCATTGGGGAGGGAGAATAGCATTACCGCCAGGGGTTCACGGGCAAATCGGATGCGTCTGCGTCCGATAATCACAATATTTCACTTGTACTCCGCATCTAAAGCTCAGCACATGATGCCTAAACCGGACCGTTGGGCGCGGGGGGGAGAGACAGGCTCAAAGGCCCTGACCGACTTACCATCCCCACCGCAAAATGAGTCGTTTTGGGCGACTCGTACTCTCCTCCAGTGGTCGTAGCCAGTATCCACGAGGGAGCACCGGGATTCTCGAGATTAATTGGCATGGGTTATCAACCTTGGCAACGGCACAGGGCTCTCCTCGTTTCCTTACAGGCCCCGTCAGCGCCAATATGCTGGCCCCGCCTCGAGACACAAAAGTGTCTCGAGTGTAGCGGCGGGTGGCACTTGTAAAAGGGGCTTTTCACGATTTGGGGCTGGTTGGCGATTTGCTATGAGAAATGCCCTCCACGGGTTCGGCCAAATTGGACACCTCTCCACTCCAGGAAGGCGGCGTCAGGGGCAACAAAAGCTGTCAGTATGACCCCACCCCAGCATTGGGTCTGTCTATTCACAACAGGTCTCACCTCACCTCACACCACACCCCCCATCCTCACCGATCGATCCCTTAAACGTGTCTCTGATGGCTCTAAAAACCGACGTTTCTCCGCCCATGGCTAGGCGTCTTTGGGCCGAGCTCGGGCAACTTGTAAATAACTGACCACTGCGCTTGCTAGGTTTTTTTGCACTACTGATCCCCTCTTTCATGCCTCTCAAGAGACATAGCGCCACGTGCTATCCCTGTTCGGGGCATACGTACTTTCAGACGAGAGCCCAGCGCCAATGTGGTTGAAGCGCCTTCTACTACTCCGTAGGTTTCAGGGCGCCATACAGTCCGGTCCTTGGTACCGCTACTCGAACCTATCCTCGCTGTTCTGGAGATACGAAGACTGTCATCTGTTCCTGGGGGCGGCCGTTCTTACGTCAGGAATCGTTGCTAATAGCGCGCAGCAGGGCCCATCAACTCTTCGAGAATGTGGAAATGTGGACGCTTTAAGTGTATGCGCGACCTTCCGCAATACCGATATCAATATGCATTCTTCTCCCTGGCCCCTTTCCTTCTTTTGTTCTTTCAATTTAAGAATAAGGGTAGCGTTCCGCCAGATAGCATTACAGACATCAAGCAAGATATAATAACTCGAGCCGTTTCATTTTCTTGTCGCCACTCCAGCGGCCAATTCGGTTTCCATCTCCTGTTTTATTATTTGTCTCTCCCACCGCCACTCGCCACTCCTTGTCTGAAGACATTTTGCGACTGATCCCTAGCGGCTAGAGTTGCCACTGGCATGCACAGTGGTAGCCTGTGCCCAGACACCCATCACCGCTCTAGCTGTTGTTACTTAATCCCAGAGTGTCGGCACGCCTCATCCGGGACTTCCCTTCCACCTAAAACAGTACCTAAAACAGTGTGGAGCTCCCATTCAAGCTTCTCCAATGTCAGCGATTCTTGTATTGTTATGCTTAGGTATCTAGCCTCCTCTTTCTTTCCACGTTTCCTGCTCTTCGGCCGCCTTGCTAGTTAGTCCAACCAATTCAAGACATGTGCGGGCGTCGTTCACAGCATTCTCACTTACGATGGAAGATATAAAACCAGAGGAGCCTGGGTCGACTGGAACTTCGTTATGGAACGGCTGTCGAGTCCCCCTCCCGGCGCCAATGTCGCTATTCTCTCATCATTACGAGCAGAGTGCTCCAGTATTTGAACCACAGGAAGTACTATACAGCAGTAGCGCAAAGGACCCCTACAGCCCATCGACCCAACACCAGCAGTCACAGCAGCAACCACAGAATGACATGCTACCGCGCCGAGGCAGCGAGTCTCTTGGCGTTTTTGGGGTCCCCAAGCTGAATCCCGGATTGGCTTCCCATCGTAGCTATCCAAGCCTTAAGAGGCCGCATGATTCGTTCGAAGAGCACCCGTACGCCAATGTTGCCTCTTCACTGCACGAAAGCATACCGGAGTTCGACGATTCGACGAAACCGACGATTCAATCCGACCATCGCCTACTGTCGTTTGAGCCGTTGTTGCCACATAGGCATACGGTCCTAGACCAGTATGGAAGGCCCGCCAAACTGGATGTTGTTGCGCAAATACATGGCATGTTCTTCTTGTCTGAGATAGCAACTCATGCTGGCGACAACATTATCATGCAGCCGGAACTCACTTGCTACCGGCGCAACCTCTTCCAGATATCAGGTTCAATCACATGCCCAGCAGGGCCTCTGTCAGTCGTCAATGGCCACGGGGAGTCCATATCTACTGTGTCGCATGAGATTACAGTTTCAGCTACAGAATCTGTGGATGGACATGTTATCCGACTGATTGTTATCCCCTGGAAGACCCCACCAGCAAATTCCCCAGATCACCCATCTGGCCAAGGGCAGGAGCCAGCGGCTATATCAATCGACAGCCTTGGAAACGAAGACAAGAACAATGAGACGGTCTCTCAACAAATAGCATGGAAGAGGCTCCAGTTCCGTGTTGCAACAGCCAACAATGGCCGTAGGAAAGAACTACAGCAACATTTTGTCTTGCGCCTAAAACTAATATCCACGCTGGCCGATGGATCCAAAGTGTCCACAGTCGAATCGGCAACAGCGCCCATTGTGGTACGCGGACGAAGCCCCAGGAACTTCCAAGCAAGAAAAGAAATACCGCTAGTAGGATCGTCAGCTTCGCTGAGGGGCCATAATTCTCGTGTGTCTCCATCTCAGAAGAAAGATCCCTTGATGGCGGATAGGCCTGGCATTGCGAAGCCTACGATGATGGATTTACCGAAACGCCCATTTCAGTTCGATAATGGCAACTTTCCTCCGTCTCCTCTGATAATCCACGGCGGGTAAGTAGCATACATAGGTTAATAATGTAGAAATGTATGCTGACTAGAAATTGATAGCTATCCACAGTGGAATCAAGCGCAGCAACACTCTGGGCACGCCGCATCCGCCACAGCGACGTTTCCGCAAACAAGCAACAGCATATCTGCATACCATAACGAACCCCAAAGAATCCATGCGGTCCAGGATCCGTCCTCGCATCACGGACTGCCAGAGCTAACCTCACCGATTGAGTCTTCATCACGGCATTTCTACTCACCCCCAACGTCGTCACCTGCGCAATTTGACCCTAACCCGCGTCCGATGAAGTCTCCACGACATACGGAGGTGCCCCATAGCTCGGTTTATCGGCCATTCGAAACCTCGTATGGAAATAACCTTGCGGGCAACCCAAATCGCCTGTACTATCCTCATGCGCCAGCTCCACCGCCGTGGTCAGGCACCGAGCCAGATGGGTCAAGCTATAGCACGGCTATGAACCTACCACCCCAACAGCCACTCCAACATCCACCCCATCAGACAGAACATGAGCGGCAGCCATCCCCAGATTACAACTTTGCTTCAGAAGCATACGTTAATGCTAGGGATGACACCCAGAATATCGGATACACATGGAGCGCCGCTGGCTGATTCATAATACGCCACATTCCAAACATTTATCAATGAGAAAAAAAACAAGTACGAGCCACGATATACCCCTTTGTACCATAGCCGGTTAGCTATCTACTCTAAAATTAGCGTTTTGACGTCCGTTTTTCGATTTTTTAAAATATTAATCTTCTTGTTCCTCGCCATTTTCTTGTTCTATAAGCGATGATATAGCTTTGAGATGCGAGCATTGTCCAGCGTCGGAGTTATAGTGGCATACAACTGAAAAAGGGGAAGGTTTTAGGGGGGAGAGGAGCTCAGCGTATTGCCAATTATCATTATTAGGCGAATCTGTGTCCAGCTTGAAATTGTTTACTCATCTTGGGTCCGGTGCAGAGGTTGGGGGGAAATGTATTTCATTACACGGATGGTGAATAGGGGATATAACGGATCTCTGAGACGAATCTTCCATACCTACAGAACAATATACTGACATACCCGTCGCGGCGGGCCCAGAGGGGCTGTCCTGCGCCGGCTCGTTCTGTCTATTCCATCCATCCACCCGTCTTATCATATTCATACTGGGTGAGCTACCGCACATTGTGCTTGAAGCTTGGTACTTATTAATTATCTGATTAAACTGCTGGAAGTGAAGTGCCCCATGTAGAAACCAAATATACTCTATCAGACTTTATAGTCTCTGAAGCCCCGCATCACTTTACTAAGCATTAGTGTGCGGTTGGTGCTGGTCGATTATCCATTAAAATTTGGCGCTTGGGCGGGAAGGCTGGCGCGGCTGCTTGTAATCGTAGCCTTGTGGGGAACTTCACGCAATCAATCAAGGATGTTGTCGGCTGGGTAAAAACTCCAATACTCAAACAATTTCAACAGCCTCCTCTTTAAATTCAAACATCGGAAGGACCCATGTTTGATCTGCCCGACGCGAAGCGGTATGTGCTCAATTTCAATTGCCACGGAAAAACTGGAAGTGCCTGATCTGACATATCTACAGCGTCCGTCGCGACGACCTATACAACTCCGACGACGGCAATGAAGATGCCGCTTCACCGATCGATGACTCTCGCGCGAAGCTCCTTCAAGACCAACTCGCGCAACTCTATGGCCCCATAACCATTTCGTCACAGGACCCTGTCGCTCCTGGTGGCACAGAATTTTCGCCAGATGCACCGCCAGCAGAGGCAGAAGACGAGGAATTCGAATTCAGATTATTCGCTCCCTCCACCACAGCGGTCGCCTCGAATGGCAACCAATCCCAATCTTCCAAACCTGACGAAACGGCTACCCAACGAATTATACTATCCAATTCAGATGACGAAGATCTAGGTGATGGCGCGTTTACCGTACCACACAGGAGGCTGAGCTGGTATATCGCCGCACCAGCGACAGGAACGAAGAAAGCGGGGTTTGAAGAGGCAGCTGTGAGTGCGGATATGGTGCAGCGGGAGAGAGAACATAGGGCTTGGGCTCTAGAGAAGCCATGGAGGGTGACAGTTATACGAACGGGCTCAACATCAACCTCACAACCTGAGGCTGCACTGGCAGCCAAGTCAGTCAGCGTGCGGACTGCTGAAGGAGACGGGAAGACTAAAAGGTCAAAGCCGAATAAAAAGCGACGCATTGAAGTTAGGGTAAGAGAACGAGCTCTTGCTGAGAAGTTGGAAGCAGAGCGGTTACGGTGTGCGAGAATGGAAGAAGAGAAAGCGAGCAGAGGTGCCGATGACGCGCAGAAGAGGACAGCGCGGAATAGAGAGAGGAAGGTAAAGAGGAGAGAGAGGGAGAAAAGGAAGAAGGCAGCTGCGGCCGCTGGGATGCCTGAACCCTCGGGGGAGGCAGATAGTGGAAGTGGAAGTGATGCGAACTAAACGGGCGACTAGTTGGAGTGCGAACCACTTAGAAATATAATTGGCTTGCTGCGTATAACCTTATAACAAACATGATATCAGTGTTCGGCGGATCGTATCCGGATCTGATCCTGAGCCCTCACGGGTAAGATCATGATCCGTCTGATGTTTTGACGGATAGATACGGGTTATATCCGGATCTTCAGGATAATGAGGCTTAAAATATAAAAATAGAATAGATAAAATAACTTATATAACTACTCTTCCCCCTCGTCATCAGCATCTTCGGCTTCACTTTCTTCAACCTCTAGTATATGACCCCAATCTCGTAAACAGAGTAAATATCGAAGCGTTTCAGGAGAGAGCCTGTTCCTTTTCTTCGTAAGAATATCAGCTCCATTACTAAAGACCCGTTCTGATGGAGCTGATGTTGCAGGAATTGCCAAATGGTCTCGAGCAATTGCAGCTATAATTGGATATTGATATTGCTTTGCTGCCCAATATTGACGATATCTGTTGCTGGACCTGGCCGGGGCTCAACAAGCCAGCGCTTCCATTCTGGTTCTTGGTAAATACTATGAGAGAGATATAAATCGTCGTCGGAGTCAGGTTCTGTAGGTAATTGTCGTAAATCAGCCTCAGCTTCCCTTTTCTCTTCTTCAAGATAGTATTGGCGGTCTCTATATTGAATAAAGACGTCGTGGAACTGCTGCTTAACCCTATTCTGTTTGACTTCTTCAGTACTGCTTGGCCAAAGACTGTTGAATACGTTAAGATCGCAAATTGTAGCTACCCCTGAATGACTCCATCGTTGATTCGTAGCAAGCGTATAGTACTCATTAAGCTACTTATGAGCAGCGATACAAGCTAGGCCGATCGTTGATGATATACCAACTTCCTTCTGTAAAGCCTCAAGCTTTTTTATCATCATTAGATACTGAGGAATTGCGAAGTTGAGCATTGGATATAAGCTTGCTTGTAGCTTTTGCGACGGCTTAACAAATATAAAGAAGAAATTCTGAAGAGCGTGGAGCGTTATCCAATCCTCTGCTGTAAGAGCGATACCTCTCATACTTAGATCCATTTTCTGAGTAGCACAGATCGCTGTAATTGGCGTCTGTAGCTTAATAGCTGTTGAAACCATTTCGTACGTTGAGTTCCACCGGACTGGCATATCGAGTGATAGTTGTAGCTTCTTAAGACCAGCTGCTATAGTCTGCTTTTGAAGAGCATCTTTCCATTGCCTTCGATTTCTGAATACATAGATATGTCTTCGTAGCTTACCAAGAGTATTCTTAACTTCAATATTACTATCGAAGCTTACTGGAATCCGCGCAGCTCCCTGCTCACACCGATAACTCTCAACTTGCTCAGCAGGGGCCGCTTTTAAAGTCTTAAGAGCATCTTGAACAGCAATAATGATAATATGGGCTATGCATCGTACATCTCCTTCCTTGACTCTAAACGTCCAGGGTTGTTATGTTGTAACTTCCTGGTCTCTGGCTATTTTCTCATATTTCGCAAGCATAACAGTATTAGCTGAGGCGTTATCCCTTGTACAGGTAAAGACAGCTCCTGTAATTGTTGAGCTAGATATTCGCCGCTATGGATAGGCTCTTGAAGATGTACAACGTCAAGTACTTTAGATTTCTGTTGCCATTTATCGTTGATCCAGTGTGCAGTAATCGCAGCATAGTCTGTATAATTCCGTGCAGACCATGCATCTGTCGTTATTGATATCCGGCCTCCTCTCTTAATATGAGAATGAAGCTCAAGTTGTAGCTGGCCTCGGTGATATGAGAACTGACGCTGTAGTTCTTGTTGTAGCGTACGAGCTGATATTGCCATAGTTGTTGGGCTTAAGAATTAAACTAATCCACGGAATGAATAGCTTCAACAAGGTGTATCGATAGATTATTCAACACAATGAACTGTAGTAATAACTCCTTATACTTTGAAGGATTACCAGGTTGCTTTAGTAGAGCTGATGGGCGTGGGTTGAAGAACGATGATGTACAGCTTGACGCACTAGACGGATGTCTCTTCTCATTTTTAAGGGCTATGATACTGTTGAATGCTTTAAGGAATAATGCCTCCATAGATTACCGGTCGACGATTGCTTTAATTCTTGTGGCGGTAGTGAATATCCACAGCCTGGTTGTTGGCATATCATTTTTATGGTCGGAGGCCGAGTATCAAGTAATTCCCGACGATATAAGCCCTTTGTGAAGAGCTTCGACGATGTCGGTGGTAGTACTACCCTTGGATGTTGAGGTAGATTAATCGATACGTCAACTGCTTCAACTGAAGGCTGAATAGGGATAGGTTGAGGTGGAAGATGTGGTAACGATAGCTCTTCTATTTGAGAATAGCTCTCATGATCTGACGGCAAATCTGATAATTCCGAGTCGCTCATTTTTACTGTAATCGTCACATTACGATGGTATTTGAACCAGTATTACAGAATCAATTCTACGTCTATTATGTGGCCTTGGCTACTCTTGGCTATTCTTGGCATTATCCGTAAGATCCGGATATATCCTCAGATCGTACGGATAGATCATAATTATGGCGGATAGGATATATCCGGATCAGTATCCGGATCAGCTCAGGTCATACACGATCCGTGCCGAACACTGCATGATATTGAGTGGGTCTAACTTTAAATATTACACCAAGGGTACAATACAGTTTTTTACAATTATATGACAAAATTTACAGTCTTCCCACCCTTAACAACAATAACCTTCTTCGCCCCCTTGAGCTTCTCCACAAGAGGATTACTGCTCGCCCGAAGCGTTATTTTGTCTACAATCCAATCCTTCAAAACATCTCCCTTCAACTTATCGCTTGGAGTCTCGATTTCAAGTGTGAATTTAAGCTTTCCGTTGACTTGTACCGCACATACGTGACGGCTACTCTTCAGACTCTCTGCCGTACCATCTTCTACTGGGAAAGCCTCCATTAAAACCGATGGTACAGATGTGGAATCATGAAGAATTTGCCATGATTCTTCAGCGAACGCTGGGGTGATGGGCGCTAGCATCTTGACCAGCATTGCAAGTGCGTGGACCTGCACAGGCGAGGACTCCGGGAGGTCGAGAACAGTATTCGTTAGGCCCATTAGGTCAGACACGACTGTATTGAGCGCGTATGTCTTTGACAAGGATTCGGTGATGGAAGTTATCGTATTCTGCACAGCGAGCCAGGCGGCGGCCTCCTTATCCCGGAGTGCCGACGAGGTCGGATCGCTAGGCGTGTTGCCGAAGTGCACTTTAGGGTCTGCGGGTAGCGAGGAAAGGACACCACGGTTGCGCTCCATCCTCTGATGTAGGCGCCGCAACCAGCGAGTTACGCCGCTTATCTTCTCCTCGTCCCACTCGAGAACATCAGTGGGTGGTGCTTGGAATAGCATATGGGCGCGGGTCGCATCAGCACCGTATTTTTCGGTGCAAGTGGCAGGGTCGACACCATTGAACTTCGACTTGGACATCTTCTCGTACGTAATGTTTGCTGTCTGGCCTGTCGCTATGATGATGGGCTTGCTGGGATTCTCCATGTCCACTTCTTCAGGCTTCAGGAATCGTCCTGTTAATGGGTCCGTGCAAGTCTTTCCGTGAACCATGCCTTGCGTTAGAAGCTGCTTAAATGGCTCTCCAAGCTCCAGCGCGCCCGTGGGCCAGAGTGGCGTAGTTGACAGGAATTTAGAGATGAACCTCGCATATAGTAGATGCAAAATCGCATGCTCAACTCCGCCAATGTACAAATCAACTGGCATGGTGGAATCAGCACTATCTGCCGAGAAGGGATTTTCTGTGTTGTGCGGGTCTGCGAATCTCATAAAATACCAACTCGAATCTACAAACGTATCCATGGTGTCGGTATCACGTTTAGCTGTATGACCACATTCCGGACAAGGTGTGTTGACCCAATCATGCGCCTCTTCGAGCGGGTTTCCAGCTTTACCACGTAACCAGTGCCCCTCGACAGAGGGTAATGTGACTGGCAATTGATCAACTGGCACTGGAACAGGGCCGCACGAATCGCAATGAATGATGGGAATAGGGGTGCCCCAATAACGTTGCCGACTAACGAGCCAATCTCGAAGTCGCCATGTTTCTGTTGGTTTGGCGGCTTCTCCGTTGTCAGCAAGTAGCTTGACGAGGGCGTCCCCTGCTTCGGCAGACGTCTTGCCGGCATATTCGCCGCAGGCGTCAGTCAAAATGCCAGGATGGAGAAATGGCTCTGACAGCGACGAGTTGGATGCTACCTCTACCGGCTCCGATGCCGACCGAATAACAACTCGGACTGCGTCTTCCGAGTTTTGCTTCCAGAATCCAAAATCTCGATTATCGTGCCCCGGCACACCCATAACGGCACCATGACCGTAATCCCCGAGTACATACGGAGCTACATAAATGGGCACGGAGGCTTTCGTTGCGTCAGGCGTTTTTGGGTCAAATGCTAGAGGATTGATGGCTCGTACAGATGGGAGTACGTAGCCTGCTTTTGAGTCGGCTGCTAATGTCGGCATGGATTCTAAGAACTTTTGCAGCTCATTGTCTGTTTTGGCGAGCTCGATAACCAACGGGTGATTGGAGGCTAGTGCGATGTATTGGACCCCAAACAATGTGTCCGGTCGAGTTGTAAATGGTTCGATGCCTTCATGGCTCTGCTTGTCAAAGGATAGCACGGGGAAACGAACCTGGGCACCCTTTGATCTTCCCAGCCAGTTCTTCTGCATTGAAACTACCCGCTCCGGCCAGCGCCCGTTTTTTGCAAGGACATCAAGATCCTCCAACAGAGATTCCCTAAATTCTGATATCTTGAAGAACCATTGTTTCAGCATTCTCTTCTCCACTTTGGCGCCTGATCGCCATGAGAGCCCATTGGAGTCGACTTGTTCGTTTGCTAGAACTGTTTTATCAACGGGGTCCCAATTGACCATGCTCTCTGCTTGGTAGGCGAGACCACGTTCATGAAGCATGAGGAATATGTGCTGGGTATGTTTATAAAACTCTGGGTCGCAAGTCGCTAGTTCCTGGGGCCCGATGGTCAGATATAATCCAATATACGTTCCACGTGGGACTTACTCTGCTCCAATCCCAGCTTCCGTTCATTCCCTTCAGCTGATGCTTCATATTCGCAATGTTATCCTTGGTCCAGACAGCAGGGTCAATCCCTCGTTCGATGGCTGCATTCTCTGCCGGAAGCCCAAATGCGTCCCATCCTATGGGAAGTAGCACATTGTAGCCTTGCATGCGCCGAAAACGTGCCAGCACGTCCGGTATGGTATAGTTGCGGAAATGTCCCAGATGGAGATTCCCAGATGGGTAGGGAAACATTGGCAAAATATACATTTTCTTCTCATCATCTGAGGGCGTCGTCACCGGCCCCTCCCTCTCGCCCCATATATGCTGCCATTTCTTGTCCAGGGCGACTAAGTCAAGCTTCGCAGCATGGGCATATGTCCTCTGGGAAGCAATAATAATATTGTCGAGTTGGCTGAAACTTGAGCTCCGCGATGCCGCCAGCCTGCCATGGTGTCGCCACGAGACTAGCTGAGGCTGGTTCCAGCCAATTCGAGATATCAGAGCCTTGCGCATTCTTTTCGCTCACGCATTGCGCGGCTTGGTCGTTGCTGATGGGTTGTCGCTGTCAATAATTGAGCCTTGTAGGTTCCGCGCCTTGAAAGCACGGACCAACTCTTAGTGTCCAAGAGCGGCACAAGCCCGCTATCCATATCTGGTAATTCAAAAAGGTCCCTGTCAAGGCACGCTGCAAGAACACAATAAACAACGCCCTTTGGTTCAATCGACCAGACGCGCCCACTTCAACAAATCGAAAACCGCCGCCGGATTTGTTCGTTTTGGCTACATATATCAACCTGCACGCGCGCAGCATGAATGGTGGGTGCATGATTGGACGCCAAACAAGACCTTCTAGGTCAACCTTTACATATTCACGAACGCGATGTCTCGATACACACAAGTAAACTACGATACCCGCGACTCTCTTGAGCTTGCATCACTTGCCTCGTCTTTGCCAGATGGCCGCGCCTCTACAGATTCGAGTTCGTTACAAGGCGTCTCCTCGTCGCGGAAACTTTCACTGGAAGCCGAAGACCCCTTAGATACACATAACGCCGCGGCAGATGGCAGACCCGCGGGGCACAATAGGACATTTTCTATGTCATCCGCTTTCGAATTCACATCCAATCTCTTCCCGTTATCGTCAACCACTGCCAGCGGATATGCTCGAATAGGAGAGGCGATAGCCCCGTCGGCAACAGGGTTAGGTGGGGTGTCATTGGAGAAGCACAAGACGTTGACATACTTGAACGGGCTGTCGCTGATAGTCGGTTTGATCATTGGGTCGGGGATTTTTTCTTCTCCTGGCCAGGTCATCACCAGAGCGGGCTCACCGGGAGCATCTCTGATTATATGGGTGATCGCCGGAGTACTGGCGTGGACGGGGGCAGCCAGTTATACCGAATTAGGAGGCGCAATACCACTCAACGGGGGCCCACAAGTCTATCTATCGAAGATATTTGGAGAGCTGTTTGGATTTTTGTTCACATGGTGCGCTGTGGTTGTGCTGAAACCGGGCTCAACCGCCATTATTGCCATCATTTTTGGGGAATACCTGGTGCGCGCGATTGTTGGCGCGGAAGCGGAGAGTGTCAATCCATGGATTAACAAGGGCGTTGCGTTATTTGGGCTGTTGTCAGTGACGTTTATGAATTGCTTATCCACGAAGCTAGGAACACGCATTGGGGATATGTTTATGTTCTTGAAGTTCATTGCTTTACTGGGCGTTACTATTATTGGGATCGTTGTGGCCATTACCGGATACTCTGCATCAGGAGAAGCAAATCGCGACTGGAAAACCCATGGATGGTTTGAGGGTACGAGTAGAGACGCCTCTTCGTGGGCTGTTGCTCTGTATTCGGGGTTATGGGCCTTCGATGGCTGGGATAATGTACGTTGTTTTTTGCTAACTCTAGAACTTGCAAATACTAACTGTTATAGACCAACTATGTTGTCGGAGAGTTCCGTAATCCGGGCAGAGACCTTCCTCGAGTTATACATACGGCAATGCCAATGGTTATCGTGAGCTACTTGTTGGCCAACGTTGCATACTTCTTCGTTCTTCCTCTCGACGCCATCAAGTCCACCAATACCGTGGCTGTTGTCTTCGGTGCTAAGGTATTTGGCACCGCAGGTTCTCTGATTCTTTCCCTTATCGTCAGTGCGTCTTGTCTTGGTGCGCTTAATGCCACTGCTTTCACTAGTGGCCGGCTGGTCTACGCTGCTGGCAAAGAAGGATATCTACCATCTATCCTCGGCAAGGTCGGTGTGGGCAATCAAGTCGAACATCCGTCACTATCAACGCTGCGGACACGGTCTTGGTTGTCAAAGAAGTTGGCCGGTCTGTTCGGCGACAGCGAGACGGGGCTATTCTTTACACCCGTCAACGCACTGGTGTTCAACGCGCTCATCGCAATTGTGTATATCATCATTGGCGATTTCAGCACACTTCTCACCTTCTACGGCGTGGCGGGGTACACCTTCTACTTTTTGACGGTGCTCGGCCTAATCGTTCTGAGGGTCAGAGAACCACATCTGGAACGTCCATATAAGACCTGGATAAGCACGCCCATAATATTTTGCTGTGTAAGTCTGTTTTTACTAAGTAGGGCTGTGTTTGCTGAGCCGCTACAAACCCTTATTGTTGCGGCATTTGTGGTTGTAGGGATTCCGATATATTACTGGCGTATACGGGGTAGAGATCAGGTGTCTCGGAGGCAAGCGGAAAATGGGGAAAGGCCGTGGTGGAAGTTCTGGAAACGCTAAAATAACGAAGATAATTGTACTGTACATATACTGTTATACCCATAGATCACCTATAGACGCAATCAGACGTCTGTTGTCATATTTAATTTATCGAGTTTGCGAGCATTGGTGTTGGAAATTTGGGGGAGGACGACCGTGGGATTCTGGGTTTTTAGCCTCCCTACGCCACGGTTGGCGCACGGCAAACTGGGCTGATACCCGACTGTAACACAGTTGAGGCACTGAGGGTTTTGGCGGTGCTCCCAGAATTCCCATATATAGCTACGTAGGCCCATTAGATAGTGTAATTTAATTCAATTTAATTCAATTCTATATACTGTAGTCTACTGTCGAGTTTTCCTGCCCGTTGCGCAAAAAGCCCGAAGGTCCGGGTCACCAAATACGCCGCACGATTTGCGCGCGGTCGGAATATTTCGGTCCTTCCCACCAACAATTGGATGGCATCGTCAATCATCACGTGACATATTTTACATCCCTCGAAGAAGCTGTGAACGAGCATCTTGTCGTGGTCTTCGACATCTTCGACATCTTCGAACAAGTTTCATTGCCGGTCGGCGAATGTATCACCTCGAGTTTTTGTTCCACTGCCTTGTCCCTGTAGACGATCAATTGTGATCTGAGCGTCGCGTCTCACACCCATGCGTTACCGTGTGCCGCGACCAACTGCGACAGCTCAGGTTTGAAGTTCCAGGGCACCTTCGCCTTGACTCACCATACCCGAACAGAAGCTTAGGCGACGCCCTGATCCGTCTGGATTTCAGACGACCAAGGGACTTGGGGGAGTTTGAGACGCCGTCACGTTTCGGAATCACCCCGACCACAATCTTGACAAACTCGAGACTCGCAACGTTGAAGACTTTGAGCAGGCATATTGCCAATGCCCCATGAATGGCCATCCGCATGGGTCTGGGCTTATCGATACATGCACAGAGAAACACTTTGCCCACGATGAGACGCACGAAGGCGTGAAGATGGCGTCAGCGATGGACTATCAGATAGATTGCTAGGCAGAATGCGACCAGAGTTTGGATGCATTCTGCACTATTCCACGTTTGGGACAAAAAAACTACCTGGAAAGGGCATTCCAGTTTATTTTGGAAGATAGCACAATAACCTGGAAGATCCCCACCAACGTATCCCACCCCGCCCGCGTCCAAAACCTTGCCATCGCGATGGAAAGGGGCAGGCTCGGATTTCGAGTGACCCGTGTGCAGGGCCCTCGAACCTATTCTATCGTCATAGCCCCCTTGCCACAGTTTCGTTCTTATAATGCATTCCTCCCATATGCCCAGAAGACCACACAGCCTGGTGCTTTACGTTCTTTTTGTTGGCGACGTCGATTATTCCCTTCTGTCGGCTTCATTGCTTTAACTAACATTTGTCACCTCTTCTGCTGGCTCAGGACTTTCGTTTCTTGTTACAGTTCATCTTCGCCAACTAGCTACTTCTCCTCGAGACAATATCTCACCCTGAGATTATCACTACTAGAAGTCCTTTTCACTCTCTATGACAGATACAACACACATTGCTCTAATGGTCTTCACAAGCGGCAATACACTTTACCGTTAGGCCAGTCACTCAAAGGATCACATCTCGACTCGGCTTCAACATGGTGAATGCAATATCTTGGCTAGAAAGAAGAGCAAGTGATGCGATCGCAATTGAGATATGGCAGGCACAGATGGGAGAGGGTAGTGACCAAACAGAAGCACAAAGACTGATATCAAGTCTTTTCTTCGAGAACAGCAAATCTATCCGAACAATTACAATCATTTTAGCAGCATTCAACGGCGTCGCCGCTTTTGTCACTGCTTTCAGCATACTTTACGACTGCTATTGTACCTCTAAACGTTATGGGAACACTTCGAATTCTAAGTATGACTTTCAGGATGCTCTCTCGATCCACTTAGCTTACCTCTGTTATAGGAAGTTCTTCCTTTGGGCGATGCATCCTGCAGATACATTTCCACTTGTGCTCGCGTTGGGTATCGTTGTTCAGGGATTTATCTTTGCGATTGCTCAAAGTTTTGGTCTGGAGTCCTTGATGATTGATCGTTGCAGTACTATCGCACAATTTGTATTTCCCGGTACGTTACCAAGCTGCCACTACGAGACTGTCGCTGACAATCATAGCAATATTTTTGCCTTCATATATTCATATAGTGTTTGGTGTCGAGTGCGCAATACGATCCTTACGAAAGGAGCCTTTTAAGCCGAGAGGCAAATACGACGTAACGATATGCATATCTGTCATTGCCTTGATGGCTATTGGTAGCTGGATACCAACACAGATTAGCAAACAGCCAAACCACTGTTTTGCATCATTGATGTGGTTTGTGACAAACTTTGGCATTGCTGGACTCGGCATTCTCTGTTCTATCGCGTTTTTCGCCATTTCTAGTTCAGTCATCATCTGCTACCGCTTGTCGAGACACAAGGCAATTGACCAACACCAGCGTATTGCAGCATCTCGGGTGGTGTACTATCTTATCCTAAAACTGGTTGGACTCGTGAGTGAGCACTATTATATGATATGGGCCAGCCTAACGATTTGTAGGCATTTGTAACACCTTGGTTTGTCAAAATGACAATAAAAGAACCAACCATTCTCACGGCCATGATGGCAGCGGTGGTTTTGAATCTCGTGGGCCTCATGACGGGAACGTTGCAGCTGTTCCTACGAGTAAACACTGCGACCACGTCCTTTCGACCAAAAGGAACCCCTGGTTGGAGCGGAAAGAAGAACGAGATAAGAATGTGGGGCCCCAACGACCTCGGATTCGGTGGACACATATTACAACCATTATCTGGCCCCCAGAGCCCTGCATCTTCCAGCAGTGAAGGGGGCTTTCCCCGTGAGAAATACTGGCCGTCAACCTCGGAATCGTCACAAAGCCCCCGTCGTTTTGATATGGCACCAAAAGACACCAAATTATCTTTTAGCAATCCACCTCCCGTGACACCCACAGGGCTCCCATCAAGGCCAAATCAGAATATTACCACTGGGTCCTCACCGCCTCGACTACAGAGGCATAAGCAATCTCAATCATACTCCCTATTTCCGAATGAGCAGGCGTCTACAAGCCCGTCTCGCTCACAAGAACCAAGCTGCATCATCTCAACCACTAAGCTTCCATCCACGACCTTCACGCTACCATCTCCTCAAATAAAATTTGACCAGTCAGCCGAGCTTCAACCCCCACCGCCATTATTTGTTCCTCGCGGACACTGGAGAGACTCATCTATGGTTTCTTCTGCAACAGTACATATTGGGCTTCGACTAACGTATATGGATGAAGAACCGTGTCCATTTCCGACAGATGCTCAGAAAGCAGCACATGCACAAAGTACGGGTTCAAAAGTACTACCTAGGTCTAAATCACCTGCGTTGCAGGTCCAGACCCAAAATTTGCCATCACTGCAGTTACAGTTGGGAAATGAACGTCTGTCACCTCAAGAGAGAGCAGTTAAGATGAAGACTCTGCCCCCGGGACCACTACTTAATGAAGCGCGGATCGCGGAGAGTGTCTCTAATGACCCCGAGAGTAACGAGCCACGGCTATCACCTACGGTGTATATGCCACGGAACAAGTCAAAAAAGCTCCCTGCAGAACAGGATGAGAAGCCGAGGGCAAGTAAGGTAAACTGGATATGAGTGTTATGAGTTATGGTGTTCTTCGATTCTTTATGGGTATATAGGGAGCGACAGGGAGATATTGGATGGGTGCATCAGCGGATCTACATCAGGTATTCGAAGTTTCTGCTTCACTTGCTACGGCTGTGTTTGGATACTAGATAGGATGGACAGATTCATGGGTGTATATAAATGTAAAAGATAGCGGCAAGAGAATTGAGGAGGTCTATCTCGTATGGCAATTCACGTAAATTGGTTATGGGTACGAAACTTTGTGCTTCCTAGACCTTACAAACTCGACAATCTATAACTGTTTTCGAAAGAGTACGATTGTTCAAAAGCCAGTTCAACTACCCTCACAACCTCTTCCTGATATTACCAATCTCTATCAACAAGTACAACAAGCTGGGAATGTACACGACTCTATGGATCTTTCGAGCTTTTTAAATCCAGTCGATGAGGATATACAAGAGTTAGAGGGGTGGGAAGATTTTCAGGGGGGGGATGCTATTCTTGAGGATATCATGTCACAATACGTCCCAGATACCACTCAAGATGATGAGGAAGAGGATGAGCCTTCTTCACAGCCTGTGCCAACTACAAAAGCTGTGATTAACGCCATTCAAGTTCTGATTGAGTTTACGGAATCTGGGAATAGTGACACCTCAGAAGCACCAACATTCTTACGTTCTTTTGAACGTTTTGAGAGACAGTTAAGGCTCCTTGAAGCCAATTCACAAAGGCAGGGGACATTAGACTCATGGTTTATGTAAATAGCTTCAATTTTTAATTTAATCACGTGTAATACATTTACTCGATATATGCATTAAGTCGATATATTTTTGTGGATCCGAGGCATCGACTTATCGTATTTTTACTGTAGTAGTCCCTTCTATGAAATGAATTGTATAGGATTATAATACAAATTACTATCTACAACTATAGAAAAGGTTTTGTCGAGGAATGGCGGTGAACAGACGCACGTCGCGAAACTGCGTTCCCCCATTTCTCAACTGCGCATCTCGCTTCCTCCACCCTAAAGCGAAGCGAAAAGTTTAGTCACGACGATTACGTTTATCAAATCACAAGCAGCAAAATGTGAGAACTCTGTTAAAGTGCAAGGTTCTCTTAATTCACCTCTTAGAAGCTCATGGGATAATCTCAAAACAAAACATAGCAAAAGCAGACTCCGCCTTGCCAAAATCCTTCGCCCGTCCGTTTCCGTCGAGGTCTTCTATACCCAGCCCCATTATTACCCCCCAAATCATTGGCCCTTTCGAAACACCCTCGTCGTTCCCCCAACCTGTCCGAGCGCCCCGAATCCATCTTGGCTGCTCTCCACGCTCACCTGACGCACCTTTTCCACAACTCCCTCGACCCACCTCTTGCGTCCCTCGTTCATCTCTCCCTTCTTATTCTTTGGTCCCGAAGGCCCAAGATGCACCTCCTCGCCGTCAGGCCCCACGCTCCAAGCCTGGCGCGACACGGAGCGGGCCGGCGGCGTCTGTCCCTTAGCTGCATTCGCCCGTAGCGTTGTGCTCGTGAACGGCAGCGGCATAGACGGTGAGCGCACAGAGTTTTCCCTGCTATCCGCCACGTCCGAGACCCTCGCGCCTCGCTTGCGTACCTGCAAGCTCGAACCCGGTCGACTGCCCAACGATGATCCGGGGCGGCTTCTAGGGCTAGACCAGACATTCCCATTATGGCCTGTGCGCAGCATTCCTGGCGCGGGGTTCAAGCTACCAATGCTACCAATGCTACCCATGCGTGGCCTGGCGTTGGTCGAGAGCTCAACTTGGATTTCGCCAGAGCGCTCGGCGCGCCTCCCGTGATGGCTAGAGTATTCCTTCAGATATTCGCCAAGATCTGCCCAGCCACCGCCGACACGGACCATTACGCGCTCGCCTCTCTCGCCCACAAGACGCACAAAGAGTTTGATTGGTGGGTCGCCAGTGCTGCGCATCAAGTGGTAGAGTTGGATATCGGAATTGCCCTGTTGCCGTGGACGGGACAGCCGAGATTCGGCCGGTGCAAGAGTGAAAGATGGTGTTGGTGCTCTTGAATAACTTGGTCGAGATGCGGGGCTGAGAGTCGGGCGGGACGGGCGCTTTCTGATGGTGTGCTTTGGCTTCATAGGAGACTTCTGTGGAGAGATCGGGGCATTGCTCAGCTCGATCTTTGCTGGAATAGACTCTAGAATTTCGCTTATTTGTTGTTGAAGCTGATCGTCAGAAATTTTTGTAGGACTTGCTTGTGAATATTGAAGATCAATATCCACGTTTGTAAAACTTGGAGCCTCCAATGCCAATTTATCTACCGATACTAACGGCTCAGCTACCGACGCGTCTAACTCTGTATCCTCTGTGCCAAAGAAATCGAGGGTGGGCGGCACCGAAAAAATCGGTGTGCTAGGCTCGCTATAGCCTTCTTCAAAACTCTGGCGGATGTCGTTGCTATACAGTATTGACCGACGTGTGGATGGCGAGAAGTCTAAATCATAGCCGTCATCAGAAACCAAATCTTCAACAATACGAGGCGATTCAAATGCAATGATGCTATTGAGCACGGGCAGTTTGCCTGCGGAATCTGCGCGGCTATGGGCTTTGAAAACAGTATCGTTGGAACGGAATGACACGACGCTACCATGGCGAGAATTATCCAAACCATAGGATCTGCCACCATCGACTTGATAGCCCATCAGGGGTGGAGTCTCCTTGTCGTTACTGACGCTTGTCAGTGGTGATACCTTGGTCGGTTTCTCTGGGTCTGAAAATCGAGACCAATCGTGACATGCTTCCTCGACCGGGGTTATTATAGCTTTAAAACTGGCCGATGCCCCAGATCCGTGGGTTGTATTAGATGTGGGGTGCTCCGTCTCTGTGGTATGAGGTACGGCTGAAATTTCTCTATGATCCTGTTCTTGAGTGACGAAAACATCGTCGATGACAACCTTAGCTGTATGATGGGTAGGTTGTGGCTCAGGAGAGGTATCTGCCACGTTGGGTTGGCCAGAAAACTCGGACGCTTTCTCCAGAGGTGTACTGGGCATACCGTACCTCTTTTGGGGGTCTTTCTCGCCGAGGCTGGCTGTGGAATTCCTCCTGGTAGAAGACATCGACTCAGAGTTCTTATTCCGTGCCCAAGGGCTCCTAAGCTCAAACTTTGGCGCACCCTCTTGTAGTCCAGGCCATCCAGGTTGTAAGGCCGGTTTGTTTGCTGAGCTCCGTGGGTTCTCATCATCGTCGTCGCTCATCGATAACAAAGGCAGCCTCCGCTCTTTGGGTGATTTCCTGCCCTTCTTGGGACTGCGCGGTGTACCACCATCGTCTAATACAATTCTTTTTGACGGACTCGGTGGACAATCATCGTCAGAAAATTGACGCGTAGGACCAGGCTGATTTGATGGTGACATAATTGCGTGCATAGACTCTGAAGCGGCCATTGGCGGGGGAGTAAGCGGGGCCGCAGCCTGCGTCGTAGGCGTGGGCACCAGCCATGGGACGTCCGTAAATGGATCCGACGTGGATATGTCCGGCCTTGGCGAGCTCTTCGGCTCATTTGCGGTATGACCCCTGCGAGCTGGTGGTGTACTTAACATCTGAGCGGCGTGGTCGCTCGCAGCTGCAAGCAAGGCAAGCTCTTCGTCGTCGCTAAATACTGTTTGTGACCTTTTCTTGCTTCTGCTTGAACGAAGGCTTATCGATGATGACCGCGAGCCAGGGAATAGGGGACTCCCTCTGAATGAAGGAAATATTGGTGATGTGGGCGAAGTTTGAGAATCTCGTCTTGATATTGGGTTGCCTGACCCCGCATTTTGGGAGTCCCCAATATCCCAGCCGGAAGGCGCGACCGAGTTTCGACTGCTCCTGCCTCGTGGTATAATTGGCGATGGCGGCTGAGAACTAACAACGGCGCTAGTGCCCAGGATGAAAGGCCGGAGGTTTAAGTTCCCTGTCGGCGATGGGGACGCTGCCATGGAAGGGATGGTTTCTGGAGACCCGGACCGAGAGCCCTCAGTGTGAATTCGGTATGGCAACGGCAGCCTGGGAGGGGTATTTCGTCCCATGACGGAAGGCGTTCGGCTTCGCCCGAGGCGAAATGACCCCTCACTAGGTTCAAGACTAGCTCTAGACGGTGTCCAAAAGCCTCCCGCATCATTTCTTGTACTAGGCGGCGAAGGGCTCTCATCGCCTCGCTTGTGCGTACCCCGTCCAGCTGTTGGGGAGCGATCATCTTGGCCATCGAAACCCCAAGGGATATTAAACGCTCGAGACTCTTGTAGCTCCGTAGAAGCCTGTAATGTGCTTGGTACATCCGATTGCGGCGCTTCGTTGGTGATAGGTGACCCCACGGCCAGTGGTCTGCCAAAGTCGGAGCCATTGTCAGATATGTCCAGGCTTCCTATTGGTAACTCTTGAACTTGGTCGTCGGATATCGGTATGTTTTCCACTGTCGTGTCGGGGATAGACCCACGATCAGACATAGCAACGTGTTCTATTTGTACCTTCTCCCACTCCTCTTCGATGGCCACTTCGTCTTCAGTCCCAACATCAGCCATAGCTGCCTGCTGTTCAGCCAATTCTTGGAGCATCTGTACAGACTTCTCCAACTCCGCCTTCTTCGCGGCCTTGATTGCCCACTCTCCCTCCTGCGCCTTCCTCTCAGCTGCAATAGTCCAATTCCCATAATCCGTCTCAACAGCGTCCATTTGATCTAGCCATGGCCCGGGCACAGTATCAACACGCCCATCGAGCCGATCCAACATCGAATCAATCATCTTTCCCGTGTCACTGATCGTCTCACCAAGCGCCACCTGCATGGTTTCGTAGTCGGGGCGTGTGAGCATCATTTCTTCGCCGCTGGGGTTTGTAGCTTTAAGCGACGCCCAGGCGGACTGCAGCATTGTGTCTGCGTCGCGCAAGGATTCAAGGGTAGAGGGGATGTCACGCAGAATGTCTATGCGGATGCTCCAGACATCGAGAAGCAGGCGCAAACGGTGTAGCTTGGGCAGGGCGTCGAGGACGGTGTGGGTGATCATACCAGTGAAAGTGTCGAGACGGGTGTATTTAGATTTCACTGGTGTGGTTGGCAGAGAATGCTCCCCAGTCGTAGCTGATGGTTGTGCATCAGTCGCAACGAGATCGAGAACCTTGTTCTTAATCTCTTCAATGTCCAGATCGAACATGTCGTCAAAAATCTCCGAGACCCGATTGGAGTATAGTTCGACGAGGGGCGCAGGATGGCTCCCCCAATATTCCTTAGTATCGGCCTCCTCCTCCAGCCCCATATCATCTTCTTTCAGGTCTCCAAAAATTCCATATGTTTTCTCTGGCATCACAAATCCGTCGGCCCCAATACTAGGCCACGGCCAACCTCCAACCTCGTTTGCCCATTCTTCAATCTTCTTACTGGCAACCGCAGCCCTTATCCCAAATTGTTTCTGATCCGGGGTCGAAGCTTCGATGCTCTTTGCCAGCTCGCCGCTTGCGGAGGTGAAGCGTTCCAAGATCCTCGCAGGGGAGAGATCCTCAAATATATCATCTGTTATGCGCGAGCGGGTCGGCGAGCGCGTGTGTCGACAGGGCGATTTCGACGGTGATCGCGGCCGCATCCGCAGCGAGGTGGGCGAGAAGCGGAGAGCTGGCGGCGCATCTCGAATGCTGAACGCCGACATGTCGCGTTTGTGCTTCGCCATCATGATGGATGGCTGTTGTATTAGGGGGTGGGGATTTGCTAGGTCATGTAACCTCGAGGAAGACGGGAGATCCAGTATAAATAGCTCGCATCGTGCCGTGAGTGTCGTGGTTCTGTGGTGTCCCGTCGTTGTAGGGTTCAGGGTTCGTAGATGCTGTGGGAGAGGTGAAAATCGAGATGGGTTTCTGTGGCCTTCCGTCTTTGACCTGGGTATGGGTATCTATTGACGTCTATGACCAGCGACCACCGCTGTAACGCTGACACAATAAACGCAAGAACAAGTCGACGAGAGGGAAACCCACGTCCCTTTACTAAACATGGAAAAGGGAAAATCAAAGAGAGGACATGCTGGAAAACCCAGCAATAAACAATTCGTGTCGGACGCCGAAGATTGGAAAGGGCGGTATCCGATGCGCTGGACAAACAAACAGAGGTCGTCAGAGTCGATTGGGTGACAAACGGGCACTAAACGCGGCTATTGATTGCCCTGCTGGCCTGGATCATTCAGGATCAAGTTTGTCGCTTCGGTCGTTAATTTCTCCGTTTCCATTCGCTGGCGTCGCGATGAATCGTGCCGATCGGCGCGTCAGACGCCCTGCCACTGAGACAACCGTGCGGAGCAATATTTCCCCACAACCGACGACATGGAGGGACCATCGCATCGACACAACATCTTGTCGTATATTCCTATCAATATTCGAACGTATTACTACAAATGTAAGAGTTTATGTGACTACCAGGCCATGGCCGTCTTATTTTCAGGGATGGGCTTCTCCGGTATGGAAGTGTCCATGTGCCTATGAGAGTACCCCAAACAGCTCTAAGATTAGTTGGACCCTGGAGTCTCAAACCACCACATGGCGCCACCATGAGCTGTTCCTAGAGCATGAGCTGTTCCTGGAGCATCAGATGGTTCCTGGCTAGCCCAGCATTATTATACCACTTCAAACCACTATATCAGCGTTATTTCCTTGCCCTCCCCAAAAACCCAAGTACAATCTCCTATCGTCACCTCACTCTTCCTCCCTCTCCCTCCCATCCCCTTGCCGCCGCAGCAATACCCCCTATCCCCCTCATCCTCCACATATACCTCACCGTCGCAAAAATGGGCTCCACCCAAGCCATCCTCTCTATCCTCATCCTCATCCTCGTCATCGCCCGCAACCACTTCCCCGGCCGCCTCCTCGCCCTCCTCCATCGCCAGGGAAATCTCCTCACCCACCCCCTCCCCGCCTTCGTCCGCCGCCACCCCCATCTCCAAGCCCTTTTCCACCACCAACCCCGCCTCCAGCCACTCATCCACATCCCCCCATCTCGCCCACCTCGCCCACCGGCCCTCAACTACTCCCCCCTCGGCCGCCTGGCTCCGGAAACAATACAGCTTATCGCCTCTTTCCTCCCCCCCTCCGCCGCCGCATCCTTTGCCAGTACGTGCCTCGCCATCCGGCTGATGACAGGGACGCAGTACCTCGCCCTCCTCTGCGCCTCCCCCGCCGAGCTCCTCATGCTCCTCGAGTACATCACCGTCGACCTCCCCCTAGACCCCATCACCGAAGTCCCCCCCCGCCTCCTCTGTCTCTACTGCGCCCGCCTCGTCCCCTACATGCACCTCTGCACCGCATCCCCAACCCCCCTCTGCCAACAAGCCTACGCCCAGTTCTGGCCCTACGTCCCCCCCAACTTCCGCCACCAGATCTTCCACACCGCAATGACCATGTGCCGCCACGGCCGCTCGCCCTGGGCCCTCCTCGGAAACCTCAAGCCCCGCTCCACGACCACCACCCGCTACGACGGCGGCATCACCTCCCAGACGGCCTGGGAGTACCGCATCATCCACGGATCCCCCTACCAGCGCACGAGGGTCTCCATGATCCTCCCCCGCGAAGACGCAAATTACAACCCCACCGTGCAGCCATGCCCGCACTACGCCAGCTACCACAAGGCCATGGGCCGCAAGGCGCTGGAGGTGCAGGACCTGGTGCGCCAGACGCCGAAGCTGCGCGCGTGCTCGGACATGGTGTCGTGCCGGCACTGTCGGACCGTGCTGCGCGTTGGCTGCAGGAAGTTCCGGGGCCTGGGGCTGGGACTGTTTGTGACTTGGTGGATGGATGTCGGGGATGGGGGGTGGATTATGGGGAGGAAACAGGGGTTGGGGTGGAAGGATGTCAGGTATACGAGGAAGTGGGCGATGAATTATTTTGAGCATATGTGTTCTACGCAGCGGTATTTTGACTTTGAGGGTATGGATTCACTAAAGGATAGGAGGGAGTTGTTGGCTACGGCGAGGGGGGTTCTTAAGGGGTAGAAGCTTTATAGGGGTTTTATGTTTGTAATCGCTGTTCTCTTGGTTTATAGTAATAGACGCTCATATACTGTCCTGTTATCCCATGGGAATAGACCTCCCCTCCTTCTACATTTACAACTACTAGCACCCCTTACAAAAAGAACAGACAGAATCATAACATAACATATTCTCAATTCCTCTCACCTCAGATCTACCCTAAAAACATCCATCCCCCCATCCCAACGCCAAAATCCCCCATCCCCCCTAACCTCCCCCAAAAACGCCAGTTCCTAATTTAATACACCCCATACTCCCATCCATCATCATCCCACCCAAGATCCCTCAATTACTCAACCATCACACCCCCCCAACTGCCACCAAACTCCATCCCACCCATCATAAACCCCCCACTCTCCCCATGCATCCCCCCCACCATCTCCGCACCATCCGCTCCCGGACCACCCTCTCCAAAATCAACCAGCGCACCGAATTGCTCCTCAAACACCCCCTCCTCCCCAGCACCAACACAGTTACCAAGTTTCACCTCGGCGTCTGCGTTGTCATCGGGTGGGGTGGTAACTTCACCAACACCCATACCATTAGGTGTGCCGTTAACACCATCCCAAAATCCGGCTTGTGGCGGCGGTGCACCGGCACCACTAGCCCCCGAGTCCGGTGGCGGGGTGAGCCCAGCCCGAGCGCTCGGGGCATCCCCTCTCAACGGCGACTCCGCAGAATCAATCCCCGCCTTCCGCATCGCCGCGCCGAGGAACTGCGTCGCAAAGTCCGCCGCAGCGTAGTTATCGCGCAGCAGCTCCAGAACAGCCATACACATCGCGAAACCCCTTCGGGCCTCATCGCGGGTGCCGCTGTTCGGACTCTTGATGTCGAGGAGGTGGATTATGATGGCGGGGAGGAGGACGGTGACGCCGGTTGTGGGGAGGTAGCGCGCGAGTTGGAGGTGGAAGAGTGCCTGTGCAGCGCGCGTGATCTCGCGGGAGGCCTCGCGGACCTGCCGGCGCGAAACGTCCTGGAGGGCGCGGCATTGTGGGTGCGCGGCTGTTTCGGCCGAGGGGAGGACCTGCGGGCGGTGCAGGGCGGAGAGGGTGGCGTGATAGCACATGTGGAGGAGGGCGCGCTGGACGACGAGGCTGGCCTGGCCGGCGTCGACGTCGGAGGGGGTGGGGGCGCGGTAGAGACAGGGTTCGGGGAGGGAGACGAGCCATTCGGCGAGTTCCGAGTCGCAGTCGCGCACCTCGTCAGTCTGGTCGAGTTTCTTGGGGAAGAGCATGACGCTGCTGCGGGTGTTGCCTTCTTGGCCCATGGCTTGGCCCTGGTCGCGGATGAGGACGGAGTACTGCGCGCCGAGGACGTGGGAGATGCAGAGGCAGAGCTTGGCCTTGGCGATGCAGAGGTGTGCGAGATCGGTGAGGAGGACGGAGTTGCGGAGTGCTCCGCAGGATGAGAGGATATGCGAGGGGAGCTCTTCCGTCTCAAAGTCCTCGACGTCAAGCATCGGCACGTCAAAGTCCTCATCCTTTATGCGGGTTGGTCTGCGCATGCCGAGGGCAACGAGGCGGTCGCGCATGAAGCAGGACCACCATATCCGCTTCCATAGCTTCTGCTTGCGCGGAGGCATAGAGGTCGGTGACGGGTTGCGGTGTAGGCCGATTGTGTGGGCGAGGGATATGGCGACTCCCATCCAGTGCCAGGTGTCCTTCTGGTCGTCTGGGGTCTCATACCAGTAGGTCATGAGGAGAAGGGCCTGGACGATGGCGACGCGGTCGGTCTCGTAGTCGAAATCGTACAGGGCCTGCGCACGTTAGTTTCTGGGCTGTACCGGAGAAGTGATTGAGACATACCCTAGATTTCAAATATAACGCCTTCCTTGCACCCTTCCTTGTGGCATAGCCCGCCGCGGTGAGATAGGCCATATCCACGAACGCTACGCCCGTAAACATAACCGCCTGAAACAACAACAGGCTGATCCTTCCAGAATCCCCTGTTCCCTCGTCCACGATGTTCAAGAAATCGCGCAGCTCGATGAGCGGCATGTACGGGTGCACGTATTCGACGTACGCGCTCAGCAGGGCGTCGCGGAAAGGCACATCGGGGAGGGTGAGCGCACCCTTCTTCCAGAGGTGGCCAACGTCTTCGATGGAGATGCGCGCGTTTAGGGGCTTGATGTAGGCGGGGAGAAGGCCGTTGGTGAGCTGGCGTGCTGATTGCGGACGGTGTTGCGGGGGCGGGGGGAGCGAGTTGGTGGGCACGAAAGACGGGGGTGCAAGTTCCGATGCGAAGCCAGAGACGAGATTTGTGAAGGTAGGTGGTTCTAGGGAGAAAACACTCGGGGTGGCGGATTGGTCGAAATTCGACATTTGGTTGTGGTCTGGTGGTGGTCAGCTGAGTTCTCAAGAGACAAAAAATGAGAAATGAGAAATGAGGAAAAGTAAAAAGTGAGTCGTACACAAACCATGCGGCACGTGGAAATTTCCCATCTCATCATCCTGATCGACAGAGCTGACGGAGTGGTCCTCGCCGAGGAAATTCCCATTCCCATTCGAGATATCGATAGGGTTCACGCTGCCGTTCGCGAGCGCCTCGGCGGTTGAGAAGGGGTGGTGGTGCGGGTGCTGCATGTGCGTGTGCGTGTGCACCGCCATCGTGGGACTCCCTATACTCTCCTCCGCGGTGGGCTTGAGGTTGTGGTATGGGTGCTTTCTAAGGTGTGTTAGTTATTTTTTCTTGGTCGACGCTCTGATCACGTGAGGCAGGCTGGCGGAGAAATAAAAAAGGCAAACGTACTTCCTCCTCCGGCTCTCAGTGACGATGCAGGGCACCTCGTCTAAGCGGCAGTTCGTACATGGAGCTCCATGCTCGACGACGTTGCAGCGGACCTTGCGGGCGCGGCAGCACTGGCACGCTTTCGAGGCACGGCGCTTCACGGGGCGGTTGGAGGCGGTGGTGTTGGACGCATCGGCCTTGCGTTTGGGGGATGGCGGATGCGATGAGGGGGAGCGCGGGGAGCTGTCTGGGGAAGTGGTTGGAGGCGTCATTGTGATTGTGGTGGGGAGCTGCGAGGCATCGATCTGTGGGCGTGTAGTCGTGTGAGCTTATTTATAGCTGATACAGTTTTTTTTTTTTTTTTTGCCTGTTTCTTTTCCCTTCCTTTCTTTTCTAAAGGGAAGCAAATTGGCCTAGGTAGATGAGATGGTATCTGGATTCTTCTCTCTCTGTATATTATGAAGATATTGTGGTGGTGGTGGTGGTGGTGGTGGTCGTCGTCGTCGTCGTCGTCGATCTCTTTGTAATAAATTAATATACAGTTAGAGCAGGGTTGGTGGTGGAGTGGAGATTGGTTCTGTTTCTTGGATATGATTCCTCTATAAGGCAATCAAAAGCAAGCAAGCAAGCAATTATACAGGATAGTATAAACAAAAGCAAATAGCAGGAACGTGGCGGGGTCGTGGAGGGACTGTGGGTGACAGAGAGGGGGGGAAATCCAAAAAAGTGAGGAAAGTCGGGGGAAGGTGGGGATGGGGCTCGACTTATATGAAATCGAGCTTTTCTTGGTTGGGACGGTAGGGAAGGTAGGTACGTATACTACGGAGTAGAGGTACAGAGGATTGTGGGATGGAGGGGAAAAAGAGGGGATGGGGATGGGAGGGGATGGGAGGGGATGGAGGGGAGGGGAGGGGAAGGGGAGGGGAGGGGAGGGGAGGGGATGGGATGGGATGGGATGGGATGGGATGGGAGGGGATGGGAGGGAAGGGGAGGGGAAAAAGAGGGGATGGGATGGGGAAGGGAAGAGATGGGGAAGGGAAGAGATGGGGATGGGGAAGGGAAGGGGGGAGGAGAAGAATGGAGAGAGTGGAGAATGGAGAATGGAGAATGGAGAATGGAGAATGGAGAATGGAGAATGGAGAGTGGAGAGTGGAGAATGGAGAGTGGAGAGTGGAGAGTGGAGAGTAGAGAATGTAGAGTGGAGAATGTAGAGTGGAGGAGAATGGAGGATAGAATAGAGAATAGAGAATAGAGTGGAGAATGGAGAATGGAGATGGGTAAAAAAAAGGGCAACGGCAAGTAAAGTACCCCATCAAGTACCCCATGTCTTGGGTGGTGCAGAGAGCAGAGGGGGGACTTGTGAAGATGGTCGATGGTAGTACTGAAACAAGGGAGGGGGTACTTTGGGATCAAGTCTCGACCAAGGCGCCCTCGGTGCAGTTGCAGGCTTGTGACGAAGTAGCGGCGGCAAATGTGGACATGTAGGGAAACCGCAAGTCAGATCAGGGACGCAGGTACTCGAGTACTGGATGTACTTGGCGTGGTCACTCGGGCGTCCGCCATTTGGCATCGGCCGAGCGCCGAGTCACATGCACGCTAGAGTGATATGCATGCTGGAAAGACTGAAGATGAAGACTGAAGACCATGAACCATGCACCATGAAGACAAGACCATGAACCACCATGCACCATGAAGACAAGACCATGACCATGCACATAAGCCAAAGACCATGACCATGCACATAAGCCATGAAGAGTGCCGTGCAAGTCCCGTGTCTATATATCCCTCAAGGTCCCACGTGTGTCTGAATCCGTCATCCGTCATCCGTCATCCGTCATCCGATACCGTGATGCGTGATGCGTGATCCTCATCCGATACCGTGATGCGTGATGCGTGATGCGTGATGCGTGATCCTCATCCGATACCGTCATCCCTCATCCATCATCATCCATCATCCGTATTACCGTCCATCTACACGATTATACGCCCCCACAACAATAGAGTATGGTCGATGATGCCGTCGTATCCCGTATCCATGCCATCCGTGTAGGTGGTGTACGTGTAGGTTAGGTACACACACCCAGTCATATCCACGTGCCCCACTTCCCTCTCACCCAATCAATCACCGACCGACCGACCCAGCCCAGCCCAGCCAGGACAACAAATAAAACCTCACTCACCTTCCCCCCGAGTCAGCCACAGCCACCGCCACAGCCACCGCCACACCTACACCACCGCCACCGCCACCGCCACACCTACACCTACACCACAGCCACAGCCACAGCCACAGCCACCGTCACACCTACACCTTTCACACCTACACCCACCCACACCTACACCCACACCCACCCCCATCCCCTCCACCCCTCCACCCCCTCCCAATCTCCAAATCTCCAATCCCTCTACCCACTCGCAGAATTTGGAGAAAACAGTGGGGCTATCCACTCCCTTGTAACCTCAACGGATAGCGGTGCATTCCAGCGTGCGGAGGTGGAGAGCGCGACACGACCTGGGGGGGTGTCTCCATCCACCATCAGCACAGGCGGAGATTACACCACCACTGTCCAGTACAGTCACATGTCTCTTTGCCGAGATGCCGAGAATTCCACGTCCGTGCGTGCTTCATCTCAGGCTACTGTCTGCTCAGGTCAGCACGTGCCGCCGATGACTTTTATCTTCTCACAAGCTCACGAGCTCCCCAGCTCACTCACCATAGCGAGGTCCGATCGATCGCCCCCAACGCTTCCCCTCTTCGGCCGCCTGTGAAAGGGGGGGGGATTAGACTTTCCTACCCTTGGCTGGCTATTTTCTCTTTCTCTCCTGGGCCTGCGCGGCCCGCGCTGGGGGGGGAGGGGGGGGGGATGATCACGTGAAATGGGGTGGTTGTTGTGCCCCCCCTTATTTATTTTTTTGGGGGGGGAGGTAATACTGGTGTGAGGATGATGGTGAGTGAGATGGGCGTGCTGGGTTTATTCACTGAGGACTCGGGTGAAGTTGTAAAACATGCCATACTCCCCATACTCCCCACGGGTGGAGAGTCCGATTGAGAGGGGGAGGTATGGACATGGCACGCTTGGGGGGGGCGTGGGGGCCCTTGAGCGGGCGCGTGAGGCGAGTGAGGGGGGAGAGCGGGAGCGGGAGCCGGCATGTCTGTGTAAGGTCGTGAAGGGTTGCGGGAAGAGTGCGATTCGTAGGAGGCGGGAATCATAAAACGTTGCGATGGCATATCCCCATCTCACCTCCTTATTTACAACACCGACTCCCATTTACAACACCGACTCCCATCCACAACAAGGTTAACTCGCTTAAATTCCCATCTTCGCAACCCTCTTCTCCATCACCCTCACAAACCCCTCCATCCCCTTCTCCAACACCTTCATCTTCCCCCCACTCAGCGAATACACCACTCTCCTCCTGTTATCCTCTTCTTCCTCGCCTCGGCCCCCTTCGTCCTCCCCGCCGTTGGTGAATACCTCCCCCTCCACCACGCGGCGCACGAGGTAGCGATCGTGCGTCACCAGCACCACGGCGCCGCTGTAGTCTATGAGCGCTTCTCCCAGGGCGATGACGGTGCGATAGTCGAGATGGGTCGTGACTTCATCAAGAATGAGGAGGTTAGGACGGGACCAGAGGATGCGGACGAGAGCTAGGCAGACCTAAAATAACAATGTCAGCTGTGTCAAATCACGACGAACGAAACAAACAAAAACTCACAAGTTGACCACCCGACAACTTCGCAAGCGGCACATCCGACGCCGTCCGTCTCTGCAACCCAAACGACCCCAACAACCCCCTCATCTCCTGCTCCGCCATCTCCCCCGCCGAATCCTCCGCCAGCAATTTCAACGCCGTCAGCCCCTCCTCCTTGCGCCCAAGAACCTGCAAATCCTCCACAGCATGCTGCGAATAATACCCCAACTTCAGCCTGGGATGCCTCGTCACCGCCCCCCGATTCGGGCGGAGAGACTCAGTGAGCAGGTTAAGCAACGTCGTCTTACCGCCGCCGTTGAGCCCGACGATGCCGATGCGGTCGCCCAAGTGGATGGAGAGGGTCATGTTCTGGAGGACCAGGGGGGAGGTGGGGGCGTAGCGGTAGGAGACGTCTTCGAGGGAGAGGAGGGGGCCGGGGAAGCGGAGGTCGGGGGCGGGGAGGAGGGAGATGGAGACGCCTTGTTCGTCTTTGGGGATTTCGATGGCGGCGTGTTTGCTGTCGAACCAGCCTGTTGTTATTAGTCAGTTGCTGTTCGTTATATGCAAAGGAAGGGGCATCAGGAGCTCTCAGGGGGCTCTCACCCATCCGATCAGACAGCTTAAACCGCTGTCCCTTCTCATTAACCTGCATCCCCGCGCCATCTTCAAGTCTCTTCTGCCGCGACTTCGCCATGCGCAACTTATTATCATCCCCTGTCTTCTTCCCCACCTTAATAGTCTCCCGAATCGACTTCTCCAGCCTAGCCGTCTCCTTCCCCTGCGCCTCCAGCATCCTCGTCAAATTCAGAACCCGTGACCGAAAGTCCTCCTCGTACGCTGAGAGATTGCCGCGGAAATACTCGAGGCTCTGCTCCTTAACCAGAATAACCTCCTCAGCGACACTATCCACAAACTCGCGGTCGTGAGAGACTAGGAGCACAGTAGTACCGGCTTGGCTATCGCGCAGGGCGATGAGGTGCGATTGAAGCCAGATGATTGCTCGGAGATCGAGGAAGTTGGTGGGTTCGTCAAGGATGAGTAGGTCGGCTTTCTGGAGGAGGGCGCGCGCGAGGGCGGCGCGCATGCGCCAGCCTCCTGAGAGAGTGGGGATGGGTTTGGCGAGGGTGGCTTCGGTGAAGCCGAGGGCTGTGAGGATAGAGCGGGCGCGGGTTTCCAGGGCTGGTAGGGGCATCTGGGGTATGTTAGATGGTTGGGATGGGGGCCGGGATGGAGGGTTGGACGTACCGTTTCCAGCTCGGCTTCGAGGTCAACTAGGAGGGACGACGCGGTGAGGAATTCATCTTGGATAGCAGGGGAGTCTGTGATTTCTTCTGCAAGCCTACACCGTAGCATCAGTACATATACTATTGCATAACCTGATCGTGAGTGCCATACTTCTCCGTTGCTTCCGCAACCTCCTTCTCAAACGCAATAAGGTCCTTCCTGGCCTGCGACCCACGCGCTCCACTCCGTCGATAGGCATTATTTTGCACCTCGAGCAGATCACGGTTCAGGCGGTTATATCGCATCTGGCGATACCTTCGAACCTGTGTTATTACATCCTCACGATCTGCATCTGTTCCTGCCAAGGCTATGGCGCGGGTAAATATTAACTATACTGGTCGCCGAATACGGGGAGAGGTGGCAAACCTTGCAGGTCCTGGATTAGAGCAGTACGTGACTGGTCTCCTTCGATGACATGCTGCAACACTGTTGTGTCCTCCGGCACTGAGGTTCTCGGACCATCCTTTGCTGGCCTGGGGTTTTCAGCATCTGTGCTTGTCTGTTGAAGGATGGCGACTCGGAGAGAAGGTGGAAGACCGGGGATTATCCTGTCTGCGAGTGCGCGGAGGATTGCTGGCCTACGTATTAGCCTCTATGATCATTCCTGCTGCATAGTAGACGAGTTTCGGATTTCAATGGCTTCCAATAGCGGGTAATGCTCTATATAGCTCTCGGAGAACATACTTGACTTCCCGCTCCCATTGCGCCCCAGCAGCGCATAGTGAATGCCAGACTTCAATCTTAGCTCGGCATTGACAAGAAGCTCTTTCTCTTGGGCAGAAGCCGCCTTGCCCTTCCCTTTTTTCGCCTTCCTAGCGGCTCCAGAGGGCGCAATTCCAAGGCTAAGTCCAACAATATCAATCTACCCCCATTGGAGCTACGTCAGTCGAGGGTTCGTGAGGGGGGTGACGGAATGGAAACAACCTCTGTAGACTTGTTGGTGTCTGATATATGAAAGCGCGTCTGCTTGCAGCTTGCCACGATAATTGCCTCTGTGGCCTCGTCATCGGCGATGTTGGTCATTTTGTATGTTGAGATACCAGGGTGCGTATCCAGCCAGGCCCATCGTACTGCCCTACGATTTCTGTGGCTGCTATCGAGATCTTATCAGGTACCCTTGTCCCACTCTCATCGTGATTACATAAGCAAGGGGATTGGCCTATCGACTCACACGGCGTGGGATCGTCATGGAGGCATTATATTTGTATACTAATTTCTGTAACGTACATGCATAGCGAAAGCTCTAGCATAGCGAACGCTCCACCCCACCACACCTGCACATTTTGTAACAGCTAATCGTCGTGACCAAACTTTTCGCTTCGCTCAAGGTTGGAGTAAGCAATACGCGGCTGCCCAACTCGAGAGGAAGCAATACGCGGCTCGTCACAATTGCGACCGTAAGTACCTCTCCATAGTAATTTGTATGTAAAGGTACATAATTAAGCCATTCTATGAAACTATCACTTCTTCGCTCCCACTCCTACCCTCTCTCCCACTCTCACCCTCGCCCTCGCCCTCGCCCTCACTCTCGACCTCAGTTTGGAGGGCTTCCGGGTCAGGAATTAGGTCCTCAAACTCTGGAGGAATTGGGAGGCCAGCTTTCCGAAGAGCTGCTACCCCCTTCTTTCGGAGGCGCTCTTCCTTCCGGGCCTCAATTCCTGCCCGGCGAAGCTGCTTTTGGGCCCGGTTGGCAGCCTGGCGGGCTACTCAAACCCGCTTGGCCTCAAGCTTCTGAGCTGCTAGCTCAGCTTTCTGGGCCCGAAGCTCGTGAGCGTGAGCTGCCGTAAGCTCACCTCCAAACTGAAGGCGAGCCCGGCTTCGGCTCGACCGCTTCTTCGACTCCTCAACCTGGCGTCGAAAAGCCAGTAGGTCAAGCTCTTGAAGCTGGCCTCCTACTACAACCTCTTCCGTTCCTGTGAGCCAATTCTTGTAGCTCTCCCTCGAGGGGCTACTAAAACCCTCTGGAACCCGTTGTTTCCAGTACTGTAGCCCCTCTTCAACCCCCCTAAAAGCCGAGGGTTTTGGTGTAGAAACCCGTATAGGTAGAGGCGTAGGTGTAGGCATAGGAGCAGGCTGTGAGTACGTACGTAGCTTTGCGAGAGCTATAATGTGGCTTACTGGCCAAATTCCTGCTTTCTGGAAAGCTGATATAATTGTAGACTCCTTAAAAGTCTGTAGCCACATTTTGGTAAGATCCCTCATAAAGGACTGTAGGTCATATGTAACATCCATATCACGTATGGCAGCAAGCACAGCCTCTCTGTGCCAGTGCTTATACGGCTGGAAGATCCCCACATCTAGTGGCTGTAAAATATAAAATATGAGTAAGATGGGATGGGAATGTGTATAACGTGGTTTATCAGTACGTCGGACATATCAGTACCTCGGACACTTTTCATTGGCATTCTACTTTGAATATCAATAAATCAACCATAACATATTAAATTAACTATAACTAAGCGGAATCAGATGAACTAGACATATCTATAGCTTCTTGACAAGTTCGCGCATTATGACCAGCTTTTCCACAGATCCCACAGCATCGCCTAGACGGTTGCCCCTCCTTGCGACTACCCCCAACCGCACGTACGTCGCGTCGTACCTGCTCATCCACATCCTTCTGTGCGATAATAGCCTGTGCATCCTCTACTATAAGTGCACCTCCTTCACGGACACGAGCCTTTTTAGCCCTGCGGCGTTTGCTAAGGGCTTCGTTGGCTGCTCGAAGGGTACGTACCTCAGCAGACAGAAGGGTGTTCTCATGTGCTAGTCGCTCCGTACCCTTTTCCAATGCAATAACTGTCCCGAAGAGTGGAGTTGGCGAGCTTCCTTGGTGACGGGCAATTCGATTTCGAACGAGGGTTGTTTGTGAAAGAGCTTCAGTTGGGTTGGAAGGGGTCTGGGAGACCCAAGGGTTGGTGTTGGCAGTAGAGGGTCTAGAGGGAGTTGGAGTCCGTAACCTCACGTCAAGCTTTGAAAGCACTGCTTGCGGGTTGAAAGGCACTAAGCCAGCTCCGCGGAACCCGGACTGGGCGTTTTGGGCTGTCATGGATTCCAGATATGCTGCTCTAAAGGCGAGAAAGAACTCGACCTTGGTAATGTGGTTGATATGAGCCTTAATGAAGGTCTCAATCTGCCGACCATATGCCCGCTTCAACACACTAAAGCACCCGACATCAAGTGGCTGAGTTAAATGAGACGAGTGGGGAGGTAGTCCAAGAGTTATAATGTTGTGTGCCTTGCAGTACTCTTGGAACTCGGCCGATTCATGACTCTCGTGCCCGTCTAACACCAGCATTCGATATGGACCCCTTGCACGAACAGCAGTATGTTTGTCGAAGTGTTTCAACCATTCTAGACCCGTCTCATTGTTTGTCCATCCATTGCTTGTCAGTTTAACAACCCAGTTGTGTGGAAGGCCGCCGTCTGTATACCAATTTGCAAGATGATTCTTGCCTTTAACTACCAAAAATGGAGGAATACTCCAGCCGTCACTGTTGATGTAACGCTGACTTCTAAACGATAGAAGACACAGAGGTTCTCTTGCGTAAAGGTTTACTTATCAGAGGAGGCAGGGGATCAGACACAAAGGCTTCAAGTAACACGTTACTAGTATATAACAAATACTGTATTGAGTTGAGCACGAAGCTCCTATCTAAGGAAATACTATCTACTTATATAGTGGCGTCGTGCCTAGTGGACTCTTGGGAACTCACTTGAGTCCTCGGAGTCCTGGACTCTTAGGACTCTTCTCATCATCCTGCGAGTCCATCACGTGCCTAGTGGACTCCTGGGAACTCACTCGAGTCCTCGGAGTCCTGGACTCTTAGGACTCTTCTCATCATCCTGCGAGTCCGTCACGTGATACTTTCGGAACTACTATTCCCCGCTGCCCCTCCAGGTACCAGGGCCGGTCTCATGCGACCTCCCTCCTTCCTGTCCTGTAGTTGGCCAGCCTTCTTGTTCCGTCGTAACACTCGCTCCCTTCCCCTGGGCATTCGTCTCGAATCCTATAAGTACGTCCATGTCCCCGGGACTCTGCTGCTCCTCAGCGAGTCCTTCAATATGCAACATGCCTACTGACACTGCCCGCAAACTCCAGGAACGCAACGATCTTGTCCGTCGAATAAAGAACCACGGATACGAACTACCCGAAATGGATTCTTGCTCGAACTGCGTGAGGCGAAACATTACTTGCGTGTCGTCTCCAAATGATTCACGGCGGTGCGCCGAGTGCGTTCGTCGCAACTTGAAAGAAAAGTGTGACTGTATGGGTCCTGAGCATCCCGACTGGGTGAAGCTCGAACGGGAGGAGGATCGCCTGGATCGCGAAGAGGAAGAAACCCTTTCGAAGTTACTTCGTCTGCGAAAGCAGAAACGCCTCATCCGAACCCGTGGTAAAGATATGCTCCGGCGAGGTTTGAAAACCCTCGACGAGCTTGATGCGGCAGAGGAGGCCGAACGTGTGGCTGCTGAGAAGCGTGACGCTGTTGAGGCTGAGGAACAGGCAGTTAGCGCTGCCTCCTCGTCTGTGACCGGGACCCTCGCTTCCTCCGATCCACTGGCCTACTCCCCTGCATCTTGGGATCAATGGCTGGCGGATGGCGGCGTCGATATTCCTCCAGCAGTTCTTTGCTGATGTTCCTTGTTGGTTCCCACGAATTATCCGTAGGTTCGTAATTTTCCCATTTTATCAAAAACTCTTCTCGACGTCCTACTAACCTTCTGTCTAGGATCGCTTCGACCTCATATTCGATTATCTCATTCTCGGGTTGGAGTTCGGTGTCGGTCGCAATTGGGGTATTTCCTCTTGCTGGTTCCAGTAGTGAGACATGAAATACCGGGTGTAGTCTAGACTTCTTAGGTAGCTGCAGTCTGTAATTAACTGAGCTGACTTTGTTCAATATTTTGAATGGTCCCAATTTCTTGAAGTCCAACTTTGTGCTTGGTCGTTTCGTTTTGATATGTTTCCGGAGTAGGTATACTTTATCCCCCTCCTTGAAGGCAGGTTCCATACTGCGCTTCTTGTTTGCGTATGCGGCGGATCGTTCATTTAAGAATTGGATGTCCGTCGCAAGTTGTTCGTGGAACGATTTCAGTTGTTCCACCACGATCAGGGCTTGTTCAGCTCGTGATTCATCCGGTCTTGGTTGCCTATATGCTTCTGGCTGGTAGCCATAATTGGCAAAGAACGGTGAGACTTTCGTTGCTTCTGTCATCGCGCTGTTATATGCAAACTGTGCGATGGGTAAGATCTGAACCCAGTTATCCTGTTGATGATTGACATAGCTTCGCAGGTACTGTTCAAGGGTCTGATTTAATCTTTCTGTTTGGCCATCTGTCTGGGGATGAAAAGCTGTTGATAGCTTATGATTTGTTCCCAGTAGCGCCATCAATGATTTCCAGAATTTCGAAGTAAAGAGCTTGTCTCTATCTGAGATGATTTCTTCTGGCATCCCATGATCGGCTAATATGACTCGAATGAAGGTATATGCGAGCGCCTCGGCGTCGCTAGCTTCTAGATATGGTATAAACTTCCCATATTTCGTGAGTCTTTCCGTGATGACGAGGATAGAGTCATATTCTATTCCTGTTAACGGGTCCTTGGAGGGTGGAAGCTTGACGATGAAGTCCAAAGCTATTGATTTCCACGCTCCTTTTGGTACTGGTGTCGACTTGAGTTGTCCGTATGGCAGATGCCTATTGGATTTTGACTTGCTGCAAATGTCGCACTCTCTTACCACTGTCTCTACCTGCTTCCTCATACCTGGGAAGTAGTAGTGTCGAGTGATTCGTTCGAAGGTTCGTGTTACTCCCTGATGACCGTGTGCTGGTAACGAGTGTTGTTCTTGCACCAGCGGGCGTCTCATTTGACTTGGGACATACACTAACCCTTTGTATCGAATCAATCCTTGTTCGTCGATGGTGAAGTCGCCTTCGACTTTGGACAAGACTCGCTTGGCGCATTCGTCTGTTGCGTAAGCTTTCTTGAGTCTTTCCTCGAGTTCTGTATCTTCGATGACTGAGATCGTCGCTAGTAACTCGTTGTACTGTATTCCTGCATCTGTTTTCTTCAGAATTGCTCTAGGTCTTTCTTCCTTTGGGCCGGCGTAGTCGGTCCGTCTGCTGAGAGCGTCTGCTCTTGCATTCTCGGAGCCCTTGCGATAGGTTATCGTGAAGTTGTAGGCTGCGAGG